ATTTGGAAGAGGACATCTAGAAAATATCTGGAAAATTTAGACATTGCCTGAAAATGAGAACCTAGAGAAATAAGAGTCTCAAATTATTAGCCCAAATAAATGTGTATGTGTGTATTAATAGTCAGTATAGTAAGCTCAAAAAGGAAGAGAAGGGACTGAAGCAGAAAAGGCAACCATGAACCAGTAACTTAATTGGTCTGTGTGTGTGAAATTACCTGAAGTCAAGATGAAGAAAAATAGAAGTGACCAAAAGAAAAAAGCCCTCCCTGAGGAAGCCAAAGGATGATACACTGATGAAGCAATTAAGGAGGAAAAGGAAACTGTAAGATGGAAAATGAAAGGCAAAAGGACTGCCATGTGTTTCAAAGATTGCTGACATGTCTGAGAAGACAGGAACTGCTCTGAATCATGGTACTTAGAAAACTGGACACACCACTCTGGTGTGGGAGGTATAGAAACCAGATCAGAGAGGGTTTAGGTGCATGTGTAAGATTCCAAGTAATGAATTTAAAGATTCAATTTACTGACCTCAGGGATGAAAGGCCAAGAGGGAGATAGAGCAGATGGAGATGCTAGAGAGACAAATGAAGTCAGGAGTGGGATGGGAAGACTCAAAGCAGGAGGCTGGAAAGAACGGTTTGTTATGCTTGCTTGTGACCTTTGGAAATTTATATTACGGTGTCTAGCAGGGTTTAGTGTAAGGAATACTGGTTGCCACTGCCTTTGCCTGGCTCTGATTTGTGGTGTGACTGTAAAGCATCAAACACAAACATACTTATATAGTTATTTTCTCCCTTTAGGTCTCTGCCCATGGGCTATTTTGTTTGTCTTCTCCTCGAGGTTTGCCACTGGCTTGACAAACAGAGCTCTACAGAGGAGGAAGCTCTAGAAACACAGAAATTAAAGATGGAAAATTCCTCTGTAAAAGATCAACTAGCCCACTGTGCTTGGTAGGCCAAGGGATAAACACTGTGTTGTGCTTATTTAAAATACCGCAAGAAGTCTCCCACAGCAACTGCTCCACCAGGCAGTGGATCTTACAGCCAAGCCATTGTGGCAGCACCCATCCTAATCTTTTTGCCTTGTTTCATCCTAGTTTCTCCCTCCTCACAATAAAAATGCTCTCACTTCTGTAAACCAAAATAGCTGTTCTCCCACAACTGTGTTTATTTTTTTGCAGCGTTGTGTCCTACACACCGTGCACAGCCGTATTTAGTTCTTTCAACTCAACGTGACAGGGTCTCTAAATCAATCCTCATCACTTCTGCTTTTCAAAAAATAATTCATTTATGTTTACTGATGTCTTTTTGATGAGAAGATAGTCAGGACTGAATGCAGTATTCCAAAGAGTTTCCACAACACTACCAGTAACAGAGGCTTTTGTTACAGTTTCTGTTTATGAACTCTACTATCCCATTGTTTTCTTGTTTCTGTTTTTTTTCCCCTCCCATCATCTCAAATTATGGGCCTGTCTAATTTACTGTCTGCTTTCCTGCTATTTTAGGTCTCTCTCAGTGTTACAGCTTCTGAGAATTTGTCTTCTCAATGCATATTTGTGAGTTGAATTATTTTTTGACAGATGCAGTAGTATCCCCTGTGGAACTACATTTTGTTTCCTGAGTATCATTTATGCCAGAGCTTTGACTTGTAAAATTAATAGAATAGCATACACTCAACCCCACAGCTTAGAGGTGTTTCCTTTCTTTCCCCTTCCATCCCCAAGCTTGAAATCATAAAAATGAACATTAAATGGCAACTAAAGAAAAAATATTTTTTTATTCTCTTTGAAAGAGTTGTTTAAGCTTCATGGCATCACTGATACATGAAATTTTCTCACTACAGTCCCAAGAGAAAGATTAATTGCTTTATTAAATGACTTCCAGTGTCGCTGAGGATTACCAGACATGTCCTCCCTGTCTGAGATGTGACAGGAGGTTGCTGCTCCCAGCTTATCCCCATTTGTCTGCCCCATACTGCTTGCAAGAATCTGCAAGGCAACTTCAAATGTAGCTATTGCCTAATCCTTTGTTGCCAAAATCATCTACTTTAGCTGAAGTATTTTTTTTTTTTTTTGTTTTTGCTGGCCCCTCCTCCCCACCACACATTGGACAGATGCAGGACCTGCTGTCCTTGCAGATGGAAAGGGCACGAGATGCTTGTGGGTAGGATAAGAATAAAATGTAGGTTGATGATTTCTTAGCCTGTTTTAGCTGCAACCCTCAGCTATTTGAAATTAGTGCCAGAATTGGTAATACTCTTCAGAAATGATGACTCTCCTTACTGCCCTCCTCACAGACTATTCCATGGGTCTTTTCCCAGGACTCTTTTCTGGGAAGCACATGATGCTGAGGACCTGTTGGATCACACAGCCAAAGCGAAGGTGATACATTGCGGGCTCATCCCATCATCAAGTGCATTATAAGCAAACCAATAAAAGGTCACATCTGTTAGTCACAACTCTTGTGGTTAGGCTCCTATTGAACAGCAGCCTGTGTGACAGCAGGGCGTGTGTGTGCTCAGTCCCGCTGTACAGCGTGCTGCAGAGAGGATGTGTGGTGTTAAGGCAGAGTGGCAAAAACAAAATTAAGGCTGTAGCTATTTTCCACATGGCTGTTCATTATAGAAATGTCTGTGGCAACTTTGTTGATGCTGTCAGCTTGCCTGCTGTTCAGTTCTCTGAGATGATGCTGTAGGACAAGGCTGTAGAAGAGCCCGTTCCTCTCATAGAAAGCACACAGCAGTGCATCTGCACCACACATTGTCTTTGGGGAGGGAACAGACACCTGTGAATTGGCACTTGTCTGGGTAAGGCAGAGTTTTCTTTGAAAACCATGTTCTCTCTTCTTGCTCAAACCACAGCTAAAAGGGGAAAAGGAACAATTCAATTTTCTCATCTGTCAACCCGAACACAAGCCTTTTGTCTTCAGATCCCTTTTACTGCTACCTTATTCCACTTGGGCAAGCTGTAGGGCAGGATTTACCTTATCTAATTTTGAAAGCTAGGTGTGTTTTGCATGGACTACGATAGCTAAAGTTAGGTAAAATTAATCCCATCTAATTCTTTTATCTCTTTCTGCTGGGCTAATATTTCTAGTTGTCTTTTTTTGTCTGCCCTTGCCATATATTAAAGTCTTCCCAGTAGCTGTGCTCCTGCATAACATATCTGGAGGCCCTCACTCTCAGAGACAAAGACTATTTTCTTTCCACAGAATCCTCACTTCTTCCTAATGAGGAAATTAAAGAGGACCTCCCCTTTCCTTCTGGTGTGGTGGCAGGGGTCTCTTCAACTCTTTCCTTCCTCTCCTCCCACAAATGAGAGTCCAGCCATACATCAGGATGGTCACAGTAAATCTGTGCTGTGGCAGTGATGTACCTCAGTAGTAGTTCTGAAGCTAGAACCACATGAGTACGACAATGACCTTTTCTTTCAAAAACCTTATGCAGGAATTTGTCCCACACCTGAAATGTCTTGTCAAATTTCGATTCATAAGTATGTGAGTAAAAGTTTGAGGAAAGATGCCAGCTTGTAGGATAGTGTTTTGGTTTTTTTTAGAAAACCTGGGAATTTCTCTTAAATGGAGCAGGGCACCTGAACAAATATGTCAGGTCACCAGACCCTTCACCTGAAAATTCCTTAGGATTTTTGCTGGTCCATGGCAAACAGCTGAAGTACAGTAAGTCCCATCCTTGCTTTGCAGCCCATCTACCCGCAGTGATGGTCACTGCCCAGCTGAACCATGAGTCACAGCTTGGGATCACCACTCAAACTCCACTTCAGCAATGCTCTCTCTGAAAAATAACTAACTGTTGGCTTGAAAAGCAGGTGCTTTTCAACAATGAATGACAATATGCACTTTTAATTATTCATAGACTAACCAATTTTATATTTTGGGTAGGTATCGACTCTCATCGTACGACACATGAGTCTGGGACAGGAAATATGTTTTTGTATGTGTTCATAAGCTTGCAGTAAAGTCTTGTCTGCAATCTCTAGGTAATGATTTCATGTTCATAATAGTAAATCCAAACTAGTAGAAGCACTGGGCAGCAGGTAAGGTTTGCAGTACCCCAGTGAGTCTTTGTTTTAAACATCTGGAGACAGAAAAAAGAGACGCGAGAATACCTCTCCTACAAACACATATGGCAGCTGTTCTTATCTAAGCTTACTATGGATATTGACACAACTTAAAAGTGTTAAAGGATCCCAGCATGAGCTAATGGATTTACACACTGGTTTCAGAGTAGCATCAGCTTTTTCCATTCTGAGACCAGGTGCAATTCAGTTGTAAAGTTACAATTTGAATTCTCTTAACAAGGAGTGCATCAGGTTACCAAGCTTCACCAGTATAGTGCATAATTCACAAAACGCTCTTAAACAGTTTAAGAAAATTTCACTATTTTACCAGTTTGGTTTGTCTCCTTTAAGCACTCAAAAGTCTCAAGTGTTTTCAATTAATGAGTAGCTCTCCAAAAGACAGCGTAACTATTTGACTTACATGTTCCATGCGACTGCTCCCTGATTGCAACTAATTGCGGCTTTTAATGTCTTTAAGGACCCCGAATTACACGTGGTTTTGTTCAGCAGTTTCCTGTCTGATACCTGCTGTAGGCTGTGACAGCAGAACAGAGCAAACTGCACGGCGCTGCGGCTGCCAGAGGAACCTTGAACCATGAGATCAAAATAAAATAAACCCCAACTTTAACCGGCACATCCCTTCCCCCGTGCTACACGACCCGTTGTTTTGGCTGGGTGCGCCCCGAGCCGGGCCAGCGTCTCCCGGCCGAGCCGGGGCCGGGAGCGCCCCGCGGGACCCGGGCGGGCCGCCCGTCCCCGGCAAGGGCCTCCCGAGCTCCTCCATCCTCCCCATTGCCTTTCTTTCGCTCAAGGTCAGAAGAATTTAAACTTCCTGACTCCGCGGGACGGGAGGGGTACCCCGGGCGGAGCGGGCCGGGAGCCGGGGAAGGCAGGAGGGCTGGCCCCGCTCCGCCCGGCCCGGCCCGGCCGGCTCTTGTCTCGGCGGGGAGGAGCCAGCCTGGGGCAGGCTGCAGCACCAAGGGCTGGCCGGCCGCCAGAAGTGTAAAATCCTGGCCGGTGGGTGGCAAATTTCGCCAGATCGCGGCGAGGAGACAGCGCGTCCGTCCGTCCGTGCGGGCAGCGGGCAGCCCGGCAGCCTGGCCCGGGGTGAGTGCGAGCTCGGGCGCCGGCCCCGCTCGGCCGGGGGGCTCGGGCCGGCGGCCGTGCCGCAGGGGATGGATGTTTGCCGGGGGGCGGCTGCGGAAGGGAGCGGGCTGGGCCGGCTCCCCGCGCTCCGCCGTGCCTCCGGAGCGCAGTGCGGGCAGGAGACCCGGGTAAGTTCTCCATTTAAAAATATTAAAAATAGACCCTCCGGCTCCATAGCGCTGCCGAGTGAGTCATTTCCAAACCAAATGTCTTAGTCTAACCCTTCCCCCCAGGAGATGCAATAATTCTGAAACCGGGTGGAGGGAAAGAGATTCTTCTCCCGTCTCTCTCTAAATAAATTGAATTAGCACATTGAGACAAAAGCCAAAAGAGTAGCTGGCCACCTGTTTAACAAAGTGGAGCATAGCTCCATCCCTCTCTCTTCCCTTGTACCTCTGCCGTGCTGTCGCCGCCCATTTTTCCCCAACGTGCACTCGCAGCCCCTCTGCCCTAGGAATTTACAGTGCTTTCCAATATCGTGGGCATAATCTACTTTCCAGTTCCTTCCACTGCCAAACACATTTCACTGCCACCGTCTTCTCCGAGGGACATCAGCCACAGCCTCGCATCATTCCAGCAGTCCCCCAGTGAGTGCAGCTCCTGGCTGTCTGTGCTGAAGAGAGTAGTCCAAAGCACAGCTATTTTTTTTCCGCCTTTTCCAGTCATATGATGATTTGTTCATGTAAGTGAGCTGTCTTGACTGGAGGGATGTTTCATTTGTCAAAAACAAGTGCTGAGCGTATTTATAGGCAGTGCTGCAATTTTGTGGTGTGAAAGACCTCGGTTATGCAGAACTCGCTGGTACCTGGATCAGCATGCAGGACCTGTTCACATCTTGCCTATAGTGCTCTCTGTGTGTGCATATTTCATGTATATACCCACAGATGGTATTTCATGGTGAGGCAGCATGCACAAAACACAGGAACTGGCGCACAGGTTGCATATTTCTTTTTCTTAAACAGATGCCACAGTCCAGCTGTGCAGTAGCTTCTGACCGTATAGCTCTAAATCAGAGGAGATGACACTGTGGTCTACTAATGAACTGACTGTCCTGAAAACCCCCTAGCTGCAAGTAAAATCCTATCCTCTTACCTCTGTGAAGAACTTTGTTAGCAAAAATTTTGACAACAAAAAATTACCTGCAGTTGAAAATCTGTGCAGTAAATTATGTCGGCTGTTTTACAGCCATGACAAGGATGTTAGATTTGAGAACGTGATCTGTGGCAGCAACCCAAAACTCAGTGGCATGTCTGTGTAGGAGAATTGTGATGTAAAAGCACTGGCATTCTTTTTTTGCTGCTTGGATTAAAGTTCTCCTATTAAAACTATGTATACCTTTTACAGCCAAGAGAGACCATTGTGATTGATGGACCTGTCACAAAGGTGAAGAGTGCTAAGAAATTCCTGCAGAAGGCATGCAGCTTTTCTCTTAGCTGTAACATAAAAGAGATTCATTAACTTAGGGGTGCTACCAAAGTACTGAACTTAAAAAATGAAAGGGTATTATCTTGTGCTCCAAAACACAAGAAGAAGTAGACTTCAAATCTCAAGTAAATGCAAATTTCACAGCAATCCAGGACGAGGTGTGCTCTTCATGCACAATTCATTAGCATTCAGAATGGCAATCTTGCTAAGATACAGCATCTGAGGGAGCAAAGTTCTTGGGCTTGGGTCAAAAAACATGTGCATTTTGATGAAGCTAGGAGGAAACTTTTCCAGAGGTGGATTATTCTTGGTCGTCCATGAAGGGGGTATCCTAAATCTCTGGCTGAAGTAGCTGTGATGTCGGCTATGGTGTGCTGCACTGGGTTCTGCACGGATGGCACTGGCAAGCTGGAGTGACAGGGGTGGGCAGGGAAGTACGAGTGCACTCAGGCCCTTATTGGGAGTCTTTTTGGATATGTCAGCTTAATAGTAATATCTCCTTTTGGCAGTTTTACAGCACAGTTAAGGTGACAGTTTCGCATTTGTCTTCCGCCTTCAAGATAAAATTCTTTGTAATAACTTTATGCAGCGTGTTTATGGGTTGTCTGATATCACCTGAAACTCCGATAAGGCTTTCAACGTTCGTTTTCAAAGTTCAGCTGGAACACAGGTAGTGTTTACTGAGTCCTTACTCCCTTTTGGAGGAATTTCAATTCCTTAAATTTCCGGCAACCAAAGACAGAATAGCTGAGATATTTAACCTTCTCTTTGATGTAGCTTCTGTTCTTATGAAAAGAGTGAAGGGATGGGACTTGCATGCATCAGCAAGGATTTAAAAGTAGCACACACATAAGTACTAGAATTTTATCCTTCTTGTAACTCATATTCAGTGAGTTCAGTTTTCATGTGACTTTTTCAGGCGCCTGTAGTATTTGTGGATTTTTTTGCCCATAATGTATGGCCTTTTGTACTCATTGTTTCTACTGATGTGAGTTCAAGCATAAATATACACTGACTAAACATGTGCTGGGTTCCAGGGCCTATTCAGCAGGGCATAACAACCTGGTTTTACTGCACAAGATGAGTTTAAGTGCAGCTCAGAAGACAGACTGAGGATTTTAGCAAAACCCCAGTTACACTACAGCTGGCTGAGGATGGGCTGTGATGTACAAGCAGCTGCTTAACTGCCACGTTTTGTAGCCCCAGGGTTAAAAATGTGGGGCTTTTAGGTTTTTAATAACAACAACAGGAATTTGAAAACAAAAATCAAACAAAAAGGAGTAAGAATGAAGTGCAAGAAAGCACAAAGATAATAGATACTCATTCTAGTTGCAGTAGAGATAGTTCTGAAGTCATTTTGGTGGCTGACTTATTGTTTGATTAAAGTATATCTTGCATGCTTCTGATTAACATTCCTAGAAAATTAAACATGTCATTACATTTAGAGTGATAATGACCTTTTTGCTTCTGAAATGACATTTTTTGCTCACTCCATACTTTTGCCTGGCATACAATCATAGAAACATAGGATTAGAAACATTGGATTAGATGGGGCCCTAAAGATCATCCAGTTCCAAGCCCCAGGCATGGGCAAGTATGCTTTGCAGTAGACCAAGTTGCTCAGAGCCCTATGCAGCCTGGCCTTGAACAATTCCAGCTTCTCTAGGCAACCTGTTCAGTGTTTCATCACCCTCACAGTACAAAGTTTCTTCCTAATGTCTAATCTAAAGCTATTTTCTTTAAAGCCATTCCCCCTTCACCTATCACTGCATGCCCTTGAACACAGTTCCTCTCCAGCTCTCTTGTAAGGCCGCCTTTAAGTTCTGGAAGGTGCTCTAACTCTCCCTGGAGCCGTCTGTTTCCCAGGATGAACACCCCCAACTCTCCCACCCTGCTCCACTGCTCTGATCATCTTCATGGCCCTCCTCTGGTCCTTATTGTGCTGAGGCTCCAGAGCTGGATGCAGCACTCCAGGAGGGTCTCAGGAGAGCAGTGTGCAGGGGGAGAATCCCCCCCCTGGCCTGCAGGCCACGCTGCTTTGGGTGCAGGGTGTGGTTGTCTTTCTGGGCTGCAGCTGCACATTGCTGGTCATGTCAAGCTTCTGGTTCACCAGAACCCCCAAGTCCTTCTCCTCAGGGCTGCTCTCAATCCCTCCCTGGCCCAGCCTGTATTTATTTGTACCTGGGGTTGCTTTGACCCAGGTGCAGAACTCTGCACTTTGCCTTGTTCAACTTCATGTTCAGGATCTAAACCTGTCTAGGTCCCACTGGATGGCATCCCTTCCCTCCCCATGGTGTTGATTGCACACAAGCTTGGTGTCATCAGTGAATTTGCTGAGGACGTGCCCAGTGCCCCTGTCCTTGTCACCGACAAAGATGTTGAACGGTGCCTATCCCAGAACTGACCTCTGCTCTCCACTTGGATAAGGAGCCATTCACTGCAACTCCTTGAGTGTGGCCACCTTTAAGAAAGCATCCTGTGGCTTGTCTGTTCCTCTCTTGTGAATTCCCTTAAGAATTTGTTTGTGAATTTCACCACATTTAATCAAGGAAAGAATGGTCTAAAAGGTCGAATGGTCTAAAAGGTCAAATGGTCTAAATGGTCGAAGTTTCTCTGAGATCTGTGAAAATATTTTTAGAAGGGAGAGCAATGCTAAGTTAGTTTCTGGGTTTGAAAACATATTTGTCAATTCAGTCCAAGGGCCTTTTCTACAGAAAGAGTTTGATAGCTTACTCATACTTGTGTCATTCAAGTGATACATTCTTGGGCTGTTTTTCTCCAGTAGGGGTGCATTTACTAGGGCATCTGTTGAATGCAGGAATACTGCCAGTGGAAGGAAACAACTGTGTGTGTTTCATCTTCCTTGTTTTCATTTGTGTTCCCATTTAGCTGTACTTCTTGAAAATCATCTGCTAATCAAATTAGTTTAAGACTGGTAGGAACAGCATGAGGGGGCCTGAGATCCTTGGAGCACTGCTTTGCTATTACATCAGCTGTGTTTTTTGGAGTGTTAACAGCTTGAGTAAAACCTTGCTATAGAATTGGAGATGAAGCAGTGGTGATTTTACATTTGCCATGTGTTGGTGGGTGAGACTCAAAACACAGTTGCAGGTGAGTTTGGTGCTGTGGATTACGATAGCACCGCAGTGATCCATTTCGAAAGGGTCGTTGCTCCAACTGTCACAGATGCAACTTAAAATACCCTAAAGCTTTCAGTTGATCAGAAAATGATGATAGATCTTATCTTTCCCCCTTCTTATCCATTCCTCCTCTCTGCTGGATTGTTTTTTTCATTGTACCAAAGGGGTAAGTGTATTTTTTCATTCTCAAACCACTCCAACAGTTTTATTTTTCTGAGCCTATGTGACATTTTTGCTTCTTGCCTTTCATAGCTAGTTTTTGGTGTTGTAGTTGCTCATTAGGGAGATACAATTTATTTTAACCAGATTAAATAATCTGTTAGTGCATTTAATTCAAATTTGTCTCTACTTTCATTCTGGTCAGCTAAGTGATTCTAATGAGCTCTTATTCTCACCCAGGCATGTCAGTGTTTTGCAACCATATCATGCCTTTTAATAGCCGTAAAAATTTGCTCCAATTTTTGAATTATGTGAGTCCTAGGAATTAAAATTTCTTTGAAATAACAGAGAACATCTATGATAGAAAACAAAATGACTTTGTTGTCTTAGATGCTAGTCCTGTATAAGATATTTATTTTTCTTGTGTTCTTTACTCTGAGCAGATCTCTTTAGTTCACATTGAACTGGCTTGCTCTGTGTTATTATTGATTTCTTACATTTTTAAATGAGTAGTTGTACTATCATGTATATAGATGTGAAGTAGCAGTCTTGCTTTGAACTGGCTGTAAATTCCAAGGGGACTGCAGGGGTCTCTGCTACGGAGAAGGTTCTCAGACCATGGTGGGATATGCACAAAGGTTTTTTCCCCTCCTCATATATTTACTCTCACTCTTAAGCAGAGTTTCACTTTGAGTTTCAGGTTTGATTTAACCTCAGAAACTCAGAGCACAACTGAGTGAATACCACTGAATTTCTTTATAGATGGTTCTGTTATCAAAGCCAAGTTAGATCTGTTTGTGAAGTTGTTTGAGATGTATGGTGAATAAAGGCATCGTATGGGTCAAAATGTAAGAAGGAATATGCAAAAGGTGGGGATGGAAAAGAGGGATGCTGTTGTCTCTGTTGTGGGGATGGGTGTGTACTAGGAAGATAAGGAAGGGGAGATCTTGTTTTGGGTAGCCAGTGTTTTGTGCCAGTAAAATTGTTGATTATATGATTGTATACCAGAGTGTGAACTTTGTATCAAGAGGGCTGTTTTCCCCAGTTCTGTTGATGTCACTTTGATAACATATTTAAGCTCAATAGTTAAAATCTATCCATTTTAATTACAGATATATGAGGCCAGTGGAACACCTCAGGACTATTTATGGGACGTCAAGTTGCTGCCTTTGTGGTGGTGAAGCCAGGAAAAAAAAAAAAAGACACCTTTTGGTATTCAGTCAGCTTAGGAAGGGAGAGGTAAGGAGAGGTAGATTGGATTCATCCTTTTCTCTCCAACCCTGTCAAATAATTTGAAAGGTTCATTAAAGCAGCTTAGAGGGATATTTTTGTTTGATGAATAGGATCCTGGCTTGCAAGGTTGAAGACCGGGCTAAGTCACTTCACTGGCTTAGCAACTTTTATTTCCTCAGCCAGAAAATTGAGCTAATTATTTTTACTCTTATTAGCATGCCTCCAAGAGCTCCTAATGAAAGGAGTGATTTGCAGGACTGAGTGGCCCATCTGCCTGGGACTGAGCCTCCCTGGGATCCCTCAGGGCTTTCCCATGGTGCAGGGAGGGGTGATGATTTTTGGGATTCAGAAACAAATGCCATTAATTTATGGGTGGAAGAAGCTGTCTGTTAAAGTTTGTGACTTGGATCAATCCTATTGACGAGAGTGGAAGACCTGAAGGCTGGTCTAACACTCTTCCACTTACCTTTCTGAACTGGGAATGTCTCCTAGCATGGGCTGTGCTCCTGGTGCTGGCATGAACACACCTGGAGATAAACTTTTCCCTATTTGAGGAGCTGCTCACAAGACAAAGGGTCACCACTTTTCCATGCTGATTCAAGACTTGATTCAAATCATATTAAGATCAATATGTAGTTCAATTGCTGTTGTTTTATGAGCTGTAGATTAAGCACTAAACTTTTCATGGGTCAGATAGCCAAAGCTGTGAAGGCATGAAAGCATGAAGGGTGTTGGAAGGAGTATGTCTTGAAACTGGACCCTAGACTGCTTGAACATTTTTGAAACTCTTTCAATAGCTTCTGAGGTGTATCTAAGACACAGCTTCTGATCATTGTTGACCAGAAATAACCTCTGTTAGTTATTGAGTGAATCTCAATTTTATCATCTTCTCTCCTGAAAAGTAGGCGAGATGATGATCAAACCTTGTTTAAGAAGCTGAGCAATTTGGAGCTATAAGAGGAGCTGAATGTGCTGTTAATGTAGCATTGGCAAATACTGCCTGTGTAAGAATGTAAATGAAGTTCATGCATGTGCCATGTGTAATTATGATGAGCTACAAGGCTCCAAGTTACAGGTTGTGATCTGCTTTTCCAGTTCTCAGTGTGGCTGCATAGCAGGTAAATGAAGGATTTTTGTCAGAAGTGGTGTCTTCAGATCTTGTCAGCTGAACTCTCATCAAGGGTTTTGCCAATCACATATTTTGTTAAAGATTTATTGGGCTGGAAGAAGAATCAGCTAACAAGAATCTGGTTAGCTTTCTGCATACTTTTTGTGTCTGAGGCAGGATGGGACTGCTCATTAAGCACTGTAGGCTCAGTACAGTGGGGCATTTTTCTAAAGATTATGTGTCTTCTACACTCAAAATGATTACAAAACACTTAAGTGCATATTGCAGTGTCCAGTTTGTGTATTTTATGATCGTAGGTCATCAATGTCACAACTGCATGAAGCATATAAAAGGCAAATATAAGCAAGTGTGTAATTTTCTTCATGAAGGGGCTATTTTTAACACTAAAATAATTAAATGGCAAAACATCAGTTATGTCAGGATAACCCATCATTCTCTATTGCTCTGTTTCATTCTCCACTATTTCTTTCACTCGTGTTTTAAAGTTACTTTTGGACCAGTGGCTTTTTGGTGTGAATTTATTGTGAAGTAAAATTGGTGAAAGTTTTCTTCTAAGAAGCAAAAACAGTGGTAGATTTTTCTGCCATGTCACTTCTGTTAGCAGCTGTTGGTCTGAGTTTCACAGAGAAGACATCAGAGGAATTTTAAAAGGTCTGTTCTGTTAAATCTCAGTTACTATGGGCCTTTTGTTTTTTTGGCCCAAGATTATCATGAAGAATCATAATTTGGAGACCTTGGTGCCAAGTTTTACTTTGGGTTCTTCTTTGTTTAGTAGAGGGAGATGTTGAAGTAGGGGTGGCTCCTGATCTTGCTTTTCCTCCAGACGGTCAGATATATTATGGTCTGTTGGGAAGGAAAGGTCGATTCATGAAATCATTTTATAATGATTTCTCTGTTGTTTTTCATGGCTAACAGAAAACAAATAATAAAAGTTTCCTAGCTTCATGACTGTAATGTTTTTATAAATGTCCGTATCTATGTGTGTTGGAAAAGGATTTGTCTCGATGCTCAGTTATTTTCTTTGAAGATTCGTATTAATCCTAAAAGTGTTTACTCAGATGTGATGAATTACAAGTGGATGAAATTACATTGTTGTCAGATTGACTCATGATCCTGCTGTGCTGCCTCAGTTGGGGACATTGACTTTCATCTTTGCAGAGTTAGCTCCCTTGGAGACCTGAGTTTTACACAGATGACATTTCTGCCGTGTTAGAGCTCTAGAGGGTTTAGGTAGCTGGACTTTGAGATGCTAATCAAGGGTAAGGAAAACAAAAGGACTGGGGGATAGGACATCTGGAAGGGAAGGAAGAGCAATACCTATCTCTCTGACTTAGCCATGACAAGTATCTTGCCAAAAAAGGTGTGCAGGGTCACTAAGCAAGATGAGGAGAGTGGGGAATGTTTTAGGACATATCAGCTGGCAAACAGTCTGAAATCCCCTGATGCCATGTAAAGCATTATCCCAGCAGCTGAACCACGTGGCAGTGAGAAATTATGTGGTGTGGCTGTATGTTTATGCAGCCACTGCACTTCAGTCTCTGACTCTTAATGTCTTTTATAATTGATGGAGAGAATGTTGCTTGGTGCCTGGAACATCCTGGTGTCTCCTGTCATTCTGTGTAAAAGGGGATAAGTATTTGCTTCTCTGTAAAGCTTTTTCAAGTTCTGTGACTGCTAATAGGATTGTGATTATTAGAAGTTTTATTTTGTAGCCTTCTAAACCACTTTAATCCCAGCAAGAAGAAAATGCAGATGTGAAGGAGTTTATAGTGAAAGCCTCTAGAAGAACAGTGTGTTTCTGAACATTTCTGCATGATTCTGTGAGAGTTTTCACAGCAAGATGAAATTGTTCCTTGCTCAGCATTTTGCTAAATGCTGTTTGTTCCCAATAGCTCAAATAGCCTGAATACTATGAGGGCTTCTCACTAACCTATAACTATGTTAATGCCTTTCTTGCCACAGGAGTAGTTCCTCCCAGTAAAAAGCCCAAAAATTGCACACTGCAGAGTGCACACCACAGATATTGCCAAGAAACTGCTGCTGCAACCTCCCTGTGAAAATGAAGCATTATTTACAAGGCTTCCTTGCTTTGGGGAAAACATTCAGTAGAACCTAGTTGCTGTGACAGGAAAATCTGGAGTGAAGGAAGTGTTTGGTTGGGTTCAGGTGCTTTGTTGAACCTTCAGGTAGGTGCACGGGATCTGCAGAGTACATGCTACAAAAGTCAGTTTTTTAGTAAACACTCTGTTACTTTGAGCTTTTTGTGCCTCTGAAAACAGTTTAAATGGGCTGTGGGCATGGGGAGAGAATGGTCCTTCTCACAGACTGGCATTTCCAGTTCTGGTAACACCAAGGTCAGTTATGCTTGGACACCATTTAGGGTTAGCCTGCCTTCAGAGTAAGAGTTTGGTGTGCCTGCCATTTAATAGTTTCTGGGTTTAGAGAGAGATTTGAGTCTTTGAGTCCTGAAGAAATAAGAACATGAATCAAGTCCTAAAGCCGAAGATCTTGCTTTAAATTCCTAATAAGATTCTAAAGTAAGGTTGACTTGACAGTAACACAGATTGCAGGCTGAGTTGGGAAAGGAAGGGTTGGGCTGTCTTATCTGCTCTTCCCAGGCAAGAGCTTGTTTTTATCTGTCCTGGTGACTTTTAACAGAGATTAAGGAAAACAGCATGTATGTTTCAATGAGTTTAAGTACATTCGCTAGGCAAGCAGTGCTCAGGAAATTCATCATGGGTCCCAGTGTAATGCTATGGTTCTGCTGTGTAGAATCAGTCTTGTAAATCCCTAGCCCAAGCTCAGAAGAGACCTTCCTCATTGTGCTGTTTTACTGTTTGCACAGAACAGGCCAAAGAATTTCCTACCCGTACCTGAATTTATATATGTTAAGGCACAAAGGTTGTTATATTGTTTTACATTTCTGAATTTAAGGTTTCCCCTTGCAACTTAATTTAATTCAAAAGAATATGAATGCATCCTATAAAATGATTTCATTGTTGGGGAGAAGGGTGCTTGCATGCCTTTGTGGCACCTGGGGTAGTGGTAAGAGGAGGCTTGTGGGTTAGCACATCTTAACCACTGCTTTCTAGCCCTGTTAAATGCCTGCTAGAAATAATGCTTATATTGCATTTTACCTCTGAAAGTGAAAGGTGTCTCTGCCTGTGGCAGGGGGGCTGGAACCAGATGGTCTCTAAGGTCTCTTCCAACCCAAATAATTTTGTGTTTCTATGTGTAAAGATTGTTAAGTGAGAATTTTTACAGTGCTGCCGGGAGAAGTGATCTGTCATTCATTCAGCTCCTCATGCTGTCAGCTTTGGAACTTGTAGACAAACATTGGCAGGAGCTCTTGTTTTGCAACAGAAGCAGCCTCTATGCTTGGGCTGTGCCTTGTGGCCGCCCTTTGGTCTGCTATGAAAAGAACCTGCCTCGGCTCTCCAAGGTGCTGTAGCTTTTCCTCTGGCGCTTTCTGATGTGGTTACAGTTGTCAATGGAGAAATTGCTGGCAGATTGAAAATGTGTGGGCAATGTCAAATGAACTGGTGCTGCAAAATGCACACAAAAGATACTGCTGATGTGGTTGTACTAGTTTACATTTAGTCTTAATGTCTAGAAGTTATGACTTTGTTTTTGTTTTTATTTTAATTGTAACAGAGCAGGCAAAGAATCAACAGACTGCTGCCTTTTCAAGCAACAACAGTTAGGGCTAAGCTTATGTCACAAAAGACTGTCTGGGCTTTGTCATCTCTGAAGACAGCCAGGAGTTGTCTAAAAGCAGGAAAAAGTTGCACTCGTAGCCCTGTTCCAGGTCCACAGAGATCTCTGCAAACTGTATTTAGCTTGTGAGGGTAAAACAATAGTATTTATTTCTTGAATAGCACCAAGAATGATAGTACTGTGTGTTTCAGTGCCTAAAAAGTGGAGTGTTTTCTCCATTAGCTTCCTCATTGGCAGGCCATGGGGTGTCCATGGCGCAGCAAAGGCCTTGCAAAGGCTTCATGGTGATTGATCAGAATCTGCCGAGGCTGTGCAGAACTGGGGTAACAAAGTGAGCTCAGCATTAAATGGGGCTGGCCAGGTGGCAAGAAAGCTGTTTTCTTATATGTAAGAGTTAATTATAGTTTGGGCAGTGGAAAGATTTTCCTGGGGCTGAACACCAGTCAAATTAGTGCAGACACATAGCATTGTTTTTGTCTGACCATGTCTCTTTTCACCTCCTGCTGTAGATGTAGTAGAAAAGAGGTTTTGCTTTACATCTTTCATGTGCAGTTCAGTTGCACAACTCTTTTGTTTGTTTCTTTTCCCCTCTGCTCTCCTGTGTCCCACATCTCATTCTCAAAACTGCCAACTACATCTATTGCTTGCATTCATCTAAAGTGGGAGGATTTCAAAGTACAGAAGCTTTGCCAACGTTTTTTTGTGGCTTTTATTCAAGCTCGCTTCTTCTATTTCTGTGGTTTACTTGGGGCTACACAGTCATCTACACAGAGATGGTGATCAGAGTGGAAAATACGGGCATTTCGTAATTGGCCTAGCAATTACTCCTTGTGCTGTAGAAAAACCAGAAACATAAAAGCCCTGCTCATGCTCAAAATATCTGCATGTTAGAACTCTTTTGAAGAAGCTCCTTATTATATTCTTTTTGTAGTGAACTGATAGCAAGTGGGTTTATTCCCTTGCACAACACTTCTCAAAAAAAAGCACTGTGTTAGTCTATTCATCTTTTTTTCTGTTGTTCATCTTTTGTACCTCTCTAGTGGAATAGTTTTCTCTTTCTCCAGTTCTACTATTTTATATACAGGCTGAGTGGCTAACTGTATTTAAAGGTATTTGCAAGTGCCTCTGGCAGAAGAGTTGGGCATCTTGCAGCTCTGCTAATTGAAGTCAAAAGAGAGACCATGCTTGCATTTCTGACTGGCTCCATTGGGTCATTGTTTAAGGGCCAAGATGGGAAATAGGGCTCTTGAACTCTGGAATTCCAGAGTCTTCCCAAGCTGCTGTTAATGGCACAGGATATTTTCATCTCTCCCTTCTGTTCCTTACTCTTTTCTCTTTGCATTGCAGGACTGCTTCAGTTCCTTCATCATGCAGTGCATGTCACAGCCCGGCACCATGGGGAATCGCTAGTCCAGGGCTGACCCTTCGGTTTCGGCTGAGTCCTTGGGCTTGACAACTCATGGACATTGCTGAGGTTGATGCTTGAACCTTGGAGAGAAGAGCCTTTCTGATGGTCCTGCTGCGCTGCACCTGACCCTATGAAAGGAGGGCTCACCGTGGCTCTGTCCTTGGCGCTGCAGTTCCACAGGATGGGCTCGTTCAGGAGGCCCCGGCCACGCTTCATGAGCTCCCCTGTGCTCAGCGATCTGCCTCGCTTCCAGGCAGCCCGGCAGGCCATGCAGCTCAGCTCCAACTCTGCCTGGAACAGGTCAGCAGGACCCCCCTGCCCGAGCTCTCGCCCCGCAGCAGCAACTCAGCGAGGGTTACGTCTGTCTTTCGCTTGTGCTTCACACCATTTAAGACTAAGCTCATCTGTTTATAAGCATGCACAAATTTTTGACATGTCCAGGCTTTGCTGGCATTGAAAGCATCTGTGGAGTTGAAAAATTTAGACCTACTAGTGCTCAGTTGTTTTTCAGCCATACTGTCCTGAAAAGCAAAATTGCTTTTTGTAAACAGTTGCATCTTTTAAGTACCATTTAGGAAAACATAATCCTAGTACTGTAATAAATGCCAGTTTATTAATTCACAAAGGCATGTATTTGCATATTATGAAGCTTTTATCACAGTCAAGTTCCTCTGACAACTACTAAGTTCGTGGCTTCAATCAGCATTTCCTACTGATAGCTAAATCTTGTCTGCTATGTGTGTCATGCAGCAATGGCAACTGGAAAAACAGTGTGAAAGGTGAAGAGTCCTGTGTCTTGATCTGCTGTAATGGTCTGCTGCTACCAGAAGTGGGTGTTCCCACCTTCCCTTCTGCCACATGGCACCAGCTCTGTGCTCTGCAGACTGTTCTTACTTGCTGACCTAGCTCAGTTTACCAATGTCACACAAAAGTAGCCTGGCAAAAACACTGCAGTTTTGTGCCATGATAGTGAGCTGAGGTCTATGAAGCATGCAGGTGCCATAACTAGCCCACAGAAAGGAATGTCTGCTTAGGGAATGACATATGCCCTTGTTAGCCACGGCAAGATTTAGAACTGCTAAACCTTCTTGTCTGCTGTCACTTTATTACTTCCTCTGTGCTGGTGAGAGAATTAGAAGATACTCCAGCAGCATCTTACAAGCATTAACAGTGCTCAAACTGGGATCTGACTGAGGTGATGCTGGCTGCAGAACATCTCCAGCATGGCCAGGGTCTTGCCAGATGCTGCAGTGTGGGTGGCTCATGGCAGGATCACTGGATAATGCAGTGTGATGTGTTTGGCAGATATTACCAAAAATCCTATGTCTCCTCATAGCAACTAGCCTGCAGCACCCAGCAAAGATCCCCCAAACAGTTGTGTTCAAGAGACATCTGGCACGAGCAGGACCCATGTGACAACTTTCCCTTGCTTACCCTATGCAGAACTTGAGGTTGGTTCTGCTCTGTCTCCCAGGGGAAATGTAGGTAATTAAAAGTAACAATTTCAAGGTGAGAAAGAGTGGAACTATTTCAGGGCAATTATCTCCACCTGGTTGTAATCTCTCTGCTTTTGGTGCCTTGCTCATGGTGTGCTCAGTGGTAAATCACACTGTTATTCATGGGTGTTGTCCTGTCTCGTTTCTTTTTTTGGCAGCGTACAAACAGCAGTGATAAATGTGTTCAAAGGGGGAGGCTTGCAGAACAATGAACTTTACACTCTCAATGAAAATATCAGGTAGGTTGCTGAAATGCATGAAAATGGATTTTTGTTGCTGCTTGCTTGGTGTTTGCTGGAATCTGATGCCTTCAGAACCACAGTTAAAAGGTACTGGTGGGAGGAGAAGGGATGAAAGCAAATTTAAGCACATCTTTGGGATTTCTGGCTAAGTTACTTCTTTCCTGCTATCGAGTGACATGAATGGCATGGGATAATTTGTATAATTTTTCTCCAGCTTGTGTAGCTTTGATAAGGACAGGTTGTGTATTGGCTTGGATTGTAAGGATTTTGTTCCCTCCTAGGAGCTCTGCCTCTTTTGGATGTGTTTTATACATAATAATATTGGCATCTCTTTTCTTAAACCAAACTTCTCAGAACTGTGGAGTGTTTAAAGCAAACCACAGCATTTTGTTTAAAGGCTTAATCTTCACATGATAATTGCAGAGCAAAACCTGAAAATATGAACAATAAAGATAAAAACAACTAAAAACCTAGCTAACATTTTTTGTCACTGATGCTAGTGATGGTTAAAAGTATCGTTTTCTTTTAAAAGCATGTTTCATGATTATCTGTGGTTTCATTCTGATTAGTTGGAAAGTTTGATTAGCAATAGATAGGACTGTGGAGTAGATAAAGAACTATTTATTCTTGCCTTGGTTTCCAAGTGCTGCTGAGAGAAGTACTGTCAGGGCTAATGGATGTAGGTTCCTCCTTCTCTGTTTACCAGTGCATCCATATTAATTCATTAAGAGTGCTGTCACACGTGTCTCTACTACTTCTTTTGTATGCCCTCCCCTCATTCCTATTGCATTTTTTTGAGCTCCAAAAGATTCAAATGACAGTTTGAGCTAAGTGTGTACTAAACAGCAGTCTAAACTACCCCTTTCCTCACTTTCAAAATAAATGCTGCTATCAGGGCAGGAGACTCTGTCCAATTTGGTCTAGTCCCAAACCCAAAAAGTTTAATATAATTCCTTTTGAGAGTTGAGCAAGGGCAGCATCTTGCACTTTAATGATATTTTAGTGTGTTCAGGTCAGAAGTCTTCAAGTTAGGTTTAAGCACTTGGAGCAGTCTTAATTCTCCACGGGATGAGTATTTGTGGACAAGAAAATAAAACCAGATGTCATAAGGCTTGGGAAATACCTAAAGCCCCAGCTTCTTAGCAGACTTGGGGAGTGGCTTTGGGTTTGTGACTCGCCTGTTGCCCATGGCAGTGGCTGCATCCTGCTTTTCCCCTGAAGTGCAAGCAGGTGCTCATTCCCACCCTTCCAGGGAGGCAGAACTGGGCAGAACTGCTGTGGGGTCTGGACTTGGCCCCAGAGGCTGGACCATGCTCTCTTCATGCTGTTTGCTGAAGTGAATGCAGAGTCGGGAAAACCAGGCAAAGAACAGGAAATTCTTTATGTACTATGTATGCTTTGAGGGCAGTGCTCATGGTGGGAGGGGAAATGCCCTTTTTCACAGACATGCACTGCCAGGCTGTACTTGGAAGCGCTCACCTTGAATTACATGATTAATGTTCCTGCAGGTGCCCTGAGCATTGGTTACATCTCCAAATGTCACTCTTTAAATAGACCATTTCACATCCACATTAATGCCCATCTAAGGAGCAAAGGACAGGCCTCTGCATGTGTCTGCATGAACACCTGCAGCCTCACACCTGTGGTTCTGGATGGAGCTCCCAGCACAGGGTGAGCCCTGTGCACAAGGGGAATCCCTAGCTTGACACTGGAGAAAAGCCAGACCTCTGAGACAGACGACTCTCGTGGCCCATGGAGTTGAGCTGGTGCATTTTCCTTGCCCTTGTTTGTAGTTCTCCACTCAGCTCCTGGGCTGTAGTTTGCAAATGCGGTAAGAGGCTCTCAGGTTCTGCACAGTGCTTCATCATTTGGCAAGGGGAAACACAGGACAGTTTTAAAGGAGGATGGTAATGACTGGACCAGGAGATGAGCAGGTGGTAACATTTTGTTCTGGATTGCTGCCACCTAGATTTTATCTTGCTGTGATTTGATACCATCTCACTGGCTAATTTTAGGTTTTTTTTTTACCTGCTCTGAAAGTCAGTTGTCACAGCAAGAGGAAATGTAATAAATGCCTTTGGTAAATGGAATTTCTGTAACTGGGAGATGACCTGGCCGTGCTTAGGAAGAGACCCCTCCCTTGATTTTTTTCCTAAGGTGCAAGTGTCTGGTTGCTGGTCTTACCTGCATGAAGCCAAATCCCACTGGGCTTGTCCAGTCAGGTGGAGAGCCTGCTGGATTGGCTGAAGCCAGTGGAAAAGCTTCTGACAAATCAGTCCCCAAAGACTTACCTGATTTATTGGTCTCATGGACATAGACATGGGCTTTGATTTGGGTGGGTGAATACAAACACTCAAAGAGAGAAAGAGTAATTGCTGATTCAAATGCTGTTTTCAAGAACTCTTGACTGTACTTTACATTGGTAAAAAGCAACACTCTTAGAACAGAAAAAAATTGCAGTGTTTGGCATTGGCAAATGTTGGGCAACCTTTAAATTTTAGGCAGAATTTACTGCTACAGAATTTATTCTCAATCACTGAAAGCTTAAAGTGCAAATGCACTGAATATCCTGGGTTGTTTTTTTGATACTGCCTCTGATGTAAGACAACCCTCATTTTTATATAATTTTTTAAAAAACACATATATTAGAATTTAAAGCTTTTATCGCGGCCTAATTTAAAAACCAACAATTTTCATCAGAAAGACTTCTTTAGAGTGATTTTTGCCTGTATGTATTTAAAACACCTCTTGTTAAGTTTCTAGAATTTCTTCCTTGGAAAATATGCCTTGTTTTTTATTGTTTGAAATGTGGCAGTTAAAATGTGGGTGCAGCTTCTGTTTCATTTCTCCTCTCCTTCTACTTCCAAAAGAAAAGGAAGTACAATATTAGGGAGATATCCTGTCATCACAAGAAAGCAGAAAAAATTATGGATTTCAACCTAAAATAACTCCAGATTTTCTTCCCAGCTTTCTGCTCATTCAGGGAGGTAATTTCTTTTTTCGCTTGTTCTAGGTGTATGGTTTATAATATCGAAGACTTCAGAGAAACTGTTTAATTCCTTTATAATTTGAGAATAGCCTTTGTAAAATACGTATGTAAGAGAAATCTGTGTCCAAAAGGACCCATTCCCATACATTGCTGTATCTTTGGTATGCCTGGTAGTAAAGTGCAGATATAGCTGTAAGAAATGACCAGCAGTGGCTGCTACTTCATGGCTCCATTCCTTCTGTCTACAGACGGCTGCTGAAGAGTGAACTTGGATCCTTCATCACAGATTACTTTCAGGTATTGCATGACTTGCTTGCTTTATTTTGAAGTCTGCTGCCTTCAGCTTTTTAGCCTATAACAAAACTAGGATCCCTTTTTACATGTGTGTAGCCTACAAGTTTTGTTTTTGTTTTACTGAGGAAGATGATGGAGGTACTGGACTTTTAAAATGTGGGCCATATAGCCCTGGGAGTAAATATTTTTATCAATGTGAGTGTAGAATTAAGGATAATCTTCCCTTGCACTTAAGAAATGCTGCTAGTAGCCTGCCAAGATCAACAAGGAATTCACTTGAAGTTTTTAAAGAAGATGGGATGCCTTTTCTGGAGTGTAGAAAAATCAAAAGGTTTTCTGCAACAGGGGCCAGCAAAGGGAAAGAGGAGAGATAATGTCAACTGCCTTGGAGGCAGGAGGGGGCAAAGAGAAGGAAGTTTCTCTCAGCAGGAAATCAACCTGGGTGCTGTTTGCCTTTTAGTCCCACAAATATAAATGCAGTTTCTGAAAAAGGAAAATGTGCAAGATGAAGTAACCATGACACACCTGAACAATCGCAAATGTGAATACGTGTTGCTGTGTTTTATTGACACTGGTCAGATAGGCAGAGGTTCTTATGTAACCGAGTGAAAGCCTGCTGGATGATTTTTAGAAGGCACTGATGGTTTTCAATGTTTTAATTTGTTCAGTTTAATTTGTTGACTGTTAAAAAAAAAGGGGCTGCTGGAAACAAGAGGGTTTTCTTCCCTTTGAGTAAGGGAGAGAAAATTTCTGTACTTTCTGAAGCAGCTGATGCTGCTGTGTGCGTGCTAACAGCTTGAAAGAGGAAAAAGAAGACTAGTGTTGTTTCCTATCAGATTACGTGATTTATTAGATTACATGCCTTTAAAAAATCCCCCTGCTGTGCTATCAAGTGAGAAGAAAACTCCTGCCCCAGGGGCAGTTGTGTTTCACTTCCCCAGCCCCTCTGTGCACAAGTTGTTTACTGCAGAGGCAGCTGCTGGCGGCACAAGGCAGGATGTTTCCTAGACCCTGAGTGGGGTGGCAGCCACCAGCACTCACATTTAATTTCTGGGGTATTTTTGCTCAGTGTCAAAAGGAGCAACTTGGCATCTGTCAGACTTAGCCTGAGGTAAAACTCTTGGTGCAGGCAAGTTGTGGGACAGACTGTGAGATAAAGGCTATTGTTGGAAGTAAGATTTTTCCCTCTGTGAGGTAAGATGCAGACTTATTTCTGATTCTAGACTAACGGCATATGGCCATGATAAAAGTTACCACTCCCTCCTGAATGCCTTTCCTCAGAAATCCTCTTTCCTGAGAAATCCTAGGGCCACGGAGTGGGGAAAGACTGTTCATGTGCCAAAGAAGGGCTGACAGCATTATTTCATTTGTCTGTGGGTTCTGTTTCACTGCTGATGCCAGCTGAATTATGGCAGTACTGCTGCCACCAAGATGAGCAGAGTTGAATCAAGCTGCTGATTTGGCTGAAAAATAACCTTGAAAGAAAAAACCCAATGTTTCCAACTACTTCCTTTGACGTGTTGTGGTCATCACCTCTGACATGGGGGAGGTGCTGGGAGTGGGTCACCAGGATGCGCAGCGGAGTGGAAGTGCATCTTTTGGCAGTGACTTCCTCTGACATCTGTTAAAGCCCACTGAAAACTATAAGAACCACGTTTTCTGTCCTCCTGCATTGAAATGGACCCTGAAGAATATGCTCTCTGTGTAGCCAGGCAGTTTTAAATATCCTAGCAGCAATTAGAGCAACTAACAAGATCATGTAATATTTAGATGTGATAAACTGACTTGATCGTTTTCCATTTCTTATGCTGTGGCACTTATAACTGGAGCCACAAAGAGGAACTTTAAAATCACATTTGTTTTAAGAGTTGGGGATTTTACATTTTACATTATGTAAATTTTATACACTCACACATGCACATTTTTATAAGCATTGAATATTCAAGACTAAAATGGAACAGAGCTTTTATAGTGAGACAAAGCTACCTTTGTGATCAACTTGACTTAATTACTCACAAGTCCTTTTCATCAGCACTCATGCAAATTAACAGTTTTTAGCTCCTGAAATTGCTAAAGGAATGTTTAGGAAATGGTTGGAGCTTACGCAGTCTTTTTCTGCTACCAAGACATCATCATACGAGAGTTAATGAGTCTGTTTTGTCTTTGAAAGAGAAATATAATTCCCATAAGGGCTGCAGTGCAAACTCAGATGTTTCATTCTGAAGGAAAGTTGTGTTTATAAATCTGCCGCTTTAGCAATCCTACTGTATATACAACCCCTCTCCTTGGATTGAAGCCTGAGGGAAAATGCCAGATACTTGGGACTTGCAGCATTTGCTGCAAATCTGCCTTACAGCAGTGCTTCATGCTCAGGTTTTTCAGGACTGACTTTGCCCATGAACTGATTCTAGAATTTCCTGAAAAGGGGCATTTGTACCTACCTCTCTGCTCAATAACCCAGCAGGGCACCATTTGCTCTCACTGCTGGGTTAGTTTGTTGGTGGTCAGCAGAACTGCAATAGGTGGGAATCCTATGACCATAGAAGGTAAGAGGCTGGGATTTGGAGGAACAGGGTGTACTGGCAATTGGGACTTCTCTGGTGGAGCTGTGTGATTTTTCACATAAGCTCTCTTCATTTTCCTACTGTCTGGCCCTTGTTTCGGTGGAGAAAAAATTTTAAATATAAAATCAGCAAGCATTGATAAATTGATGCATTATCTGCCTCATTCTGCAACAGCCTGAAAAAAAACCTCTGGAAGGGATTAGTTGTTAATCTTGAAACTCATGGGGAACAAAATGGAAATGCATTTGTGTCTGTTAGCTCCAACCTGTCTCCTCCCAAGGCAGAGAGACCTGTTCCCTTCCCAGGCACTGTGTCCTCTCCCAGAACCCATAGGCTGCAAATGCAGAAAGTCAAATGCCCAGAGCTGATGCCTGATGCCCACTCCCCGCACTGGCAGAGCTGGTAGGTGAGGAATGGCAAGTGGACTGTGTTTCCTCCTCTAATCCAATGAGATTTTTGATGTCTCAAAACCAGAGGCAAGGTGTTACATAATTTCCAGCCTGCTGCAGCGGAGAGCCGCCCGCAAGTCCTGACTCAGAATTAGACCCAGCTTGCTGTGCGTGTGAAGCTGCAGCGTGTGAGAGCGCACACTGCTGAGGTGTCAAGCAAAGTCCAGGCAGCAAGAGGATAATAAATAGCTGAAAAGCAAGTGGTGTCAGCAATGAGGCGAGCCTGGGTCCAAACCAAAGCTGATTTTATCTCTGCCTTTAGAGCAGTCAGTAGTGGTGCTGGTGAACCTTTCTGTGGTCAGAGTTTCTCTTGCTGTAGGCTCCACAGCTGTGCACGGTGGCTGCAGTGATAGGGGGAAACCTGCTCCCCTCCCTCTCTTGTGGCACCATAAACATTTTTTTAAGGTCCCCACTGCATGTTTTCCTGGAACTCCAGCCTGGAGAGATGACTCCAGCATCTCTCACGATGTTTGCTTGCTCCTTTGAAAGGCTGCTTTGTGAAGCGTAGCAAACAGCTGAAAAGGCCATGTGGCTGCTTAGCTAAAGAGAAAAATACAGGGGGTGTGATGCATCCTTCCTTGATGACAGGTTTCTGTGTCTACCTGTTTCACAGCAAGGCAAGGAAATAATTGTGTGGGCTATTGCAGTGATGGTTACTCCTGGATACAGGCAGCACCAGCTTTTCTCTAGCCAAGTGCTGTCTTGTGCCTGCTGCCAGGGCCTGCAGCAGCTCGGCTGCTGCACAAGGAACAGAATTCACACTTGTGTGATTTGCAGAGCTCAGCTGTGTGTCTGCTATACTCTTTTGGATCAAGCTGGTCTTTATTGTTGTATTTGTCTGGGAACCTCTGTTCTTGCAGGTCTGCTAATTATTTCTGCTTCATCTGGCACTTTCTGGAGCAGCTCCAGAGGCTCTATGGCAACTGCCCAGGTTCGTTATCGTGGATGGAATCCCCCAGCAGCTCAGCACTAGTCCTGGGTGGCAGCAGGGACACCTCCTTTTGGGCCCCAGCACTGTGTAGGTGTGTGTGAGTCCTTCCAAAGGGAGCCAGGTTGCTCCCACTCAGAGCATGGCCAGGGTGCCATGGCCTGGCGGAGCAGGGATACTCAGGCTGAAGTCAGGGGCCCTGGCTGTGGGGTTTTCCCAGAGCTGCTCCCTGCCTCGCTGTGGTCTGGATCGTAGCAGTGCTGCCTACTTGGTCTGCCTGCTCTGCTCCACTTCTTACCCTCCTTGCCTCACTTTCATCTCTTCAAGTGGGCTTTCTTTTTTATCTGTTGTGAACAAAACCAGCTCTAGGAAGAGTCATTTTAGGACGTGATTTCATATTTATCTTGCAGTTTCTCCCCTATGTGGGATCGAAGTGATCTCTCTGCTTCTGTCAGTATTTCCCCTCTTGTTAAAGAAAAAAGATGGAGGTGGGAGGATGCTCTAGATATGAGATACTGCAGCTCACACAAATTTGTATTTTGTGAAACACTGCCAAGAATTAGGTTTGTGTGCAGCTGGCGATAACTTTGTAGAAAATACTTGCCAAGTAAGTTTGGGTGATGCTTCTTCTCTCAAATTTACATCAGATTATCCACAAAGCAGTGGCTAAGTGTGCTTGTAGAGCCTGTAAAAGTGTGGTTTAGCACTAGAACACAAAGCCTCAGCTGCCTGTAAAAACAGGGTGCATTTAAGAAATACGGTAGTATTCTGTAGAAAAATTTTTTTCCACCCAGCAAAATGAGGTCAATTAATTTGAGTATGTTCTGGATCAGTTTACTTCTGTTTCAGGCTTATGTTGTTTGATAAACTAATATTAATTTGTTAATTTGAAGGTGGCTTTTGAAAGGCATACTAGCCATCTTTGGCTTGGAGACACTAAGGGAAAGCAGAATTTATCCGTAATTATATGGATGTTTGTGTAAACCTTTTTCCCTCAAAGGTAATGACTTATTTGTTATTAGCAGGGGAATTAATTTGTACTTTGCTGTACTGCAGACATGGCATTCAGGCAAGATGTGAAGTTGCCTGGGATGGCTTGAGCCTCCTTGATGATTTCTGTGGAGTTGCAGCCAAAGCTTCTCAGCTGTTTTCCACCAGGCTTCTGTTGCATGCAGCACTCAGAGCAGAGCAAGCTGTGCTGGTGGCATGGCTGCCACCCCAAATCCTTCCTGTTGGCTCTGTCTGGGGGCTGGCACCGCACCCATGCTGCTGACTGTGAGCTTCTGACAGGCAGCATCTGATCTGCCTCAGGCACAGTCCGAGGGCACCGTTCTGCCCAGGGTGTGCTGGGGCTGTGCACAGGAGGGGCCCCGCTGGGAATGCCCAGATCCTGCAGTGGCAGGCAGGGAGAAGGTGCTGGGCACTGCAGGCTCTGCTGCTTTGAGAGAGGAGCCCCAGCTGTTGTGCCTGGGACAGCTTTCACCTTCTGGGAGGATGGTGGCACTGGTATTGCTCCATTGGGCATGCATGGAGAAATTTGCCTCAATTTCTCTAACAGGGAAGGGAAAGAGGAAAATATCTGTGCCAGAAAAAAGGAAGGGATTATCAGGAAAGTGTGTGGGTTTTATAAGGTGGTGGCTGACTGCCTTCAATTTTTTTTTTTATTCCAAATGGTTTGAGGATGACTTACTTTAAGGAGTAACAATCACAGATATGTTGTGAGAGTCTCTTTACTGAGGAACAAATGAAAACTGATTATTTTCACTTTGAATCCTGCCTTTAAAAACTTAAGACATTTAAAAATTTACTTGAGAGCTTTCTTTTAGCTGTCCTTCTAACTGGTGTATCTGAGTCAGCTATTTTGGTTTACTGCTCTCAGAAAAGGAATCAGGCTGTGAGATTTCACAAGGTCACTTCTTGTCTGCTGCAAAATCTCTCTCCAGATTTCTCAACTGCACGTACATGTTTTGAAGGTGGGACTTTGTTTCTCTGCACAGCAGAGTAGCAAAGAGTAAAGGCAGGTTTGTGCCTCCCTCAATGAGCATACAGCGTCCCATGGTGTCCCAGCAGAGGGTGAGGAAAACACCCTGGGGAACCAGGAAAAGCTCATTTGGGGAGGGAAGGGAATCCCTGCTCCCCCAAGCTCCCATCCCTGTTCAGCTGGAATTGCAGAGAGATGGAAGGTGGCAGCTGAACTTTTTCAAATAAATGTACCTTTCAAGGTTACTTGGTATGAGTCTTTATCTGGTCTTGCTTTAAGTAGAAGATATATTTTTCCTCTTTGCTCTGTGCTTCTGACAAGCAGGGTGCAGCAGCAAAATGAGATTTGTAATCTAGACAAGGTCTGAAACAGACCTCCACTGCAGCTGGAGTAGCTTGTATTGATTTGTCAGCAGAGCCTGTGGGGTTTGGTAATGACAATTTGCCTGTCTGGCTTGCTCTGAGGGATTAATGCTTGGATTGAATCAGTTTCTAAGCCTGTGACTTCTTGCAGAAGAGAAGGAGAAGTAACATTGCCAGATATTTTCAGGACAGGGAGAGGGGAAATAAAGTGTGGGCTGATTTTACTTAGTTTTTTAAAAGTCTCTTCCACAGGAAAAGGAAAAAACTGAGAGGATAAGTGAAAAGTCTGCAGTTAACTACAGTAACTATATAGTCCTAATCTCTTTTTTAAGGAAACCTTTTGAGTGAGATTATGCAATCTCTTTAGCACATGGAATTGCTATAATACATTCATAGGAGCATTATAAATTTGTTACCACAGAGTAATGATTAATAAATCTATTTTGCAATAGATACAGCTGTGCTGTTCATTAGCATGTACAAATGTGTTCTTTGGTTGCTGACATAGTTGCGAAAGAAAAAACAATCCTCCCTGGAAGCAAAAAAATATTAATAATATTAACTTTTAGGCAAAGTATCTGGAAAATTGTATCCAGAGTGGGAAACATACGTAAAGTGAAATCTAAGGTTCTACGGCAAATAGAGAAGGAATTCATATTTCTTGAGAGAAACACAAGAAAATAAACATCACATCCTCATATGTGTGTATATATATGCACACCTTTATATTACAAAGCAGTTTAAAATAATGCAGTATTAAAGACCAGCTCTAAATTTCCCCTGCAGTATATGAGATGTATTTGCCTTCAGCTATAGGTTGAATAATAAAAAAAAACCCTTTTTAATGAACTGAAAGCAGGATTAACATGCCATATCTCTCCAACATCTATTGTTCAAGCAGAAAAATATTTCTAATGTTAGTGAGTTTCATTTTTTTCCCCTTATGGTTTTCTTCATTACAGATTTCTTTCTCCCTCCTTTTTTCACACTGTTGGTTTTTCCTGGAAAGTTTTTTTTTGTTGTCCAAATCAGGATATGTTGTAGGCATTTATTTCTGTTGAACAAATCTAAAACTTGAATGGACAGCCTGGCAAATGAGTATTTCCCTCCAAAGCCCATATTTCTGCTAGAGGATCTTCATAAAACTGTCACCTTCCACTCATTGCTAATGTTTGGAAATGTTGTGGGGTTTTTTCATTATGCGACCATATTTATCCAGCTTGTTAATTCCTGTTGTCATTGCCCAAGCGAAAAACATCTCCCAGCCTGAGAATGTCACAGAGGATTGTTTCCTCATTTTATACCCAGCTTTGTGATAGCTTCTTGTTGAAGGGAGGATGCAGAGGTGTGCTGCTCTCTTGGCTTGGGGTGTTTCACAGATGCCTGTCTCCGTGTCAGGGTGAGCCAGGCTGGTGTGTGGTTCCAGAGGCAGGTTTGCAATGCAGAGCAGGAGCACCGGGCAGGATGCACTAAGGCAGCTCATCAGGAGGCTGTGGTGGTGTCCAGGCAGTGGGGTAACAGCAGTGTGCACTGGGAATGACAGGGATGTGCCTTGCTCCTTGGCTGGTGGAAGGTTCCAAAGTGCAGCCTTGACCTGGTTCCCATTAAAACCAGAGACTGAACAGCGGGGGAGTCATCTCTGACTGTTGTGGGCTACCCTGATACTGAATCCTTTCTGAGAGGCAGAAGGCCTATGTTCTCTATCAGTGTGATCTCTGTACCTTTTTTCAGGATGCAGTAATAGTGTGTTATGTGGGATTGCAGTGCCTTTCTCAAGCTTTTCAGAATAACTGATTCACCTGGTGCTGTTGGGAGAACAAAAAGATAGGTGTTGTTTTTGCACCATTCTTACGTTTGGGAAAGTGGTAACAAAAAGCTAATCAGGTATTTGGATGTCCTGAACTGCAAACAGGCTTATTGTTACCTTGATCTGTCTGGTCCATGAGAGTTAAGTTTATCTAGAAAGACCAGGTCCTGCCAGTTCTTCTGCAGCTTGACACTGCACACTGAGATGATCCAACTTCTCAATACAAAAAGAATGGCCTCATGGAAAGACAGTAGGTAGGAATAGAGAAATGGATGTTAGGGAGCTGAACCTGGCCTGCTGTGCACTTAGACAAGCAATGAGCAAGTGCAAAAGAAGAAGAGAGTGGGACATTTTCATAGCATTTGACTCTTTGATGCCTCCATCATGTAATTGAGTTATAGTGTGGGTGCACCATTATGGTAAGAACTATTTTATTTTCTTGACTCCCACCCATTGACCTTTCCCATTTCTGGGAGATGTTTCAGATGCTGTGTCTGTTGCATTCTCATGTCTAGCTGAACAAGAAGGGGTTAAGGAATGCCTAGCACTCACACTGAGACCAGTGCTGGAAGAAGTCACTGCAACATGACTAATCTTAAGATTAATGCATGCAGAGTGGGTAGTATCTGACAAAAGTGCATTCTTCCATGTTCATTATAAATAAATAAAAGACAAATGCGTGTCTCTCTTTTCCCTTGGCAGAACCAGCTCCTTGCGAAAGGCTTGCTCTTCATGGAGGAGAAGGTCAAGCTGTGTGAAGGTAAGTATGGTAGGAAACCTGTTCTGGAAGGGAGTTGTGCTTTGATGTTTGGTCAGATGAGATGATTTGCATGTCTGGAAAGCAAACAGCCCTGTCTGGTGCTGTCCTGGGGTGTCACACAGCCCCTTGGGAGCCCTGTGAGGCTGAAGAGAGGGAGGGCTGTTTGAATTGCCCCAGAGCCACAATGCTCTCACCAGCCATAACTGCACCACAAAAGCAGCAACGTGGCTCTCATGTGGCAGCTGAACCTGGGCTCATGGCAGTTCTGGTCTGGACATGGATCCTGTTGTGAAACTGCTTGGAGCTGCCTTCTGCCTTTCACTTCTCAATGTGATTTGCAGCTTGATGTAAGCATAATTTTGGTTTCTCTGTCATGCCTTTGAGAGCTGAACTATCAAGCTTTGTGTAAATTTAAAGAAAAGAACAGTCTTTTGGGTGAGAATGAAATCCTTCAGGAAAGAAGTTGATCACACATGGAGCTGTGTTCAAACTACTGCTGCAGAGCCTGTGGGCCAAGGCAAGTGTGGTGTGGCCACTCAGTGCTGGACCTGTGGGGAGCTGCTCACATTCAGTAACTGTGTGCTCAAGTGAAGCCAGCACATCTTTATTCAAAACCAAGCTGCTGTTTGGTTTGACCCAGTTTTTTAGCCTGCAGGGAAGATCTCTTGTTAATCACCAGAGTGTTGTATGTGGGTCATTAAAATGCCAATAGATGCTTATAATCTCACGTCATTGCTGGGCCTGGATTTCTCTGCACCAGTCTTCACCAAGTGACCTCACCCAGCTGGCAGGCTGTAGGATTTTGGCCCCAAAGGAGTTAAGGGGTTGCCAGCCTTCTGCTTGGGGTGTGCTTCCTCAGCATTGACCCTGTGAAGGAGGAAAAAGGGCAGACTCCTGTATTTTCCAAGATGTGGAAAAAGGGCAGACTCCTGCATTTCCAAATGTGGGTACCTGCCCTGCCACTGCCAGCTCTTCAGAATGAGTGCTGCACAGCTTACCAGAGACTTTGGTTTCTGTACTCATATAAAACTATTCCAGTGTCTGCTTTAGCATTATGAAAATTGAGCTTGACTCTGTAATAAGCTGAGAGCTGCCCAAGAGTGTTTTGCAGGTGCTCAGGTAGTTTGGGTCAGATGAAGTTTCCCAGGCAGAGAGCAAAACACCTTCTATGCCTCATTTTTCTGTCCCTAGCTTGAAGTGACACTGGAGCCAGTTCACTGTGCAGGCTGGCATCACTGCAGGAGCTGACTCATGGGCACCTTTCTTTTATAATGTGTGGGCTTGTTGCAGGTCTTGTGGTCACTGCAATGAGAATTTCTTGTACATGCTTCTTAGTTCTGTCTTCCTGGAAAACTTACACTGCCCCTGCACCCAGACAGAGTGGCTGCAGGGCATGGCAATGTTTCATCTGAGTCTATTTTTCAATCACACCCTCTTTAACGTGATTTTTTCTTTATACAATCTGTCAGAATCTCTTTCAATGCCTGCAGGATTTATGATTTCTTGAAGAAACAAACCATTCCTGCTTCCCCTTCAGAAGGAGAAGTGATCTCTGACATTTCATTGTGTCTCCAGACAGCAAAGCATTGTAGTCCTGGGTAGGAGGCAGAGAAGGGAAAAATTTAAACATTCAATTAATCTGTTTCCTGTTGTCTTTTTCGCTTGCACTTGGCTGTTGTGGTAATGGGTGGCTGTTGGGGGGGGTTTGGGTCGTTTCTTGTCTGCCTGCAGTTCCAGATTTGAAGCCATAGTCATACCTGACACAGTGAGGCATCTCTTAAATTTTCTGTGGTTGATAGTGGGCTGGCTCTCTGCTCAAATGGAAATGTCTGGAGGATCTAGTCCTGCTGGCTCTCTGCTCTCTGGCTGTGTCCTAAGCAGCACAAGCTGGGCAAGCAGAGTGAAAGTCTGTGTGGAAGTCTGCAGATGAGGAAAGCACTTCAGTACAGAGTCATAAGGCTCCTTTGAGTTGTGATTTTACATGTATTCCAGTTCCTCATGCTGGGCCTTTAGTGACCTTGAGGATGAGCCCTCAAACCTGTCATGAGTGACCGTCTTCAATTACTGCTCCTTGAGTCTAGACTGCCTCTGAGGTCCTGAGAGGTATCCTGGAAAATTTTTTTCTCAGAAACTTGTGGTTTTAACTCGGAGTCTGTTTGCACCTGAGATTCCAGGGATTCCTCTTAAACTTGAAATAAACATTGCAAACCTTAAGCTAAAAAACTGAGAGGCTTTGGGCCCATATGCTGAGGAGTGCCCAGCTCTGTAAGTCAAACCTATGAGCATAATTTGATCACAACTGTATTCCTATTATGGGAATCCCAAGATTGTCTGCCTTGGTTTTAAGTACCCAGTTACACTTGGGGATGTTTGAATTAGACATATAAGGGTTGGCCACAAGTGGATTTCATTTGGGAACCTTCACAAGTGCGTTATTTGTCATTAGTACCTTTGCTGGGATCCCTGACAGGTACCTGACTGCTGCTTGGTACTGAGTGGATGCTGGAGGGGGCTCAGCTCTTCCAAATGCTCTCCCTGACCTTGTTGCATGATGATGTTGGAGATCAGCTGATGTTGGCTGTGACCTGCTGGTTCTCAGATTCACCTAGTTTTGTGTGGTCTCTCCTGGGCTAGTTGAGCATGTTAACTGTGAACTGTGCCATTGCACAATCCTGGGCTGTGGAGTTAAGGCCTCTGGTTCCAGAGGGGCTCCACTCTTTTGTTTGCATTGGTCTCATGTTTTGCACAGACAAATGATGTCATGTTTGCACAGACAGCCTTGTGTCTCTGTTGGTTAAGGGGAAGCTTAGCTGGGTGATGTCCAGTTTTGGGCAGAAACTGCAGAAATGAAGTCCCTTGCCTGGGGAATTAGGGAGTACTTGGAAAATCCAACTTGCTTTTAGTGTCCCTGTCACTAAAGCTCTTGCTCTGATCTCTGTTTTCATAGGTGAGGATCGCATTGACGTCCTGTCTGAAATCTGGGATCACTATTTTACAGAGACTCTTCCTACACTCCAGGCAATATTCTACCCAGTCCAGGTAATCCTAATTACAGTTCACTCAGGTGAAGCAAAGTGACTGCAATGCCTGCTAATGGCAGGTTATAACTTCTCTGCCAGCAGCACTGTTTGGCCAGTGGCTAAATGTACATCAAAACCTTTAAACTAAATCTTGGAGAAAGTAGAGTTTATCCAAGTATTATCTATAAGAAGGGCTGCTAAAATCTACTGGACAAGCACAATGTTTTGGGCTCGATTTATTCCCAATTGTCTACTCTCTGTGCTTAGCGTAGCTTGCATGCTGAAACTGTTGGACTGTGCCTTGTCTAGACTGAAGCTCTGGGCTATTTGTATTTATCACTCCTTCTTTTTAAATAGCTGTGGCTGTTGGTGCAGATGACAGCACTGACAGCTTGTCTTAGAGGTATAAATCTGAAGACTAGCTCAGGAGAAAATGTGATTACCTCACCCTAATGACTTTTGAAGGGCTTATATCCCATTTGTGCCTTTGGGAAATCCTCAGTTAGGTTTTTGAAGCTTCAGTAAGGGGACATGTAAGTCTATGGGTAGAGGAAGAATGAACACTTTATGTAAAACCTTTTACACTGGGTATTTTGAAGGCTGAGTATCCCATCAGAAGTGTTGAACTGTACCATTTTTTAATGTAGTTTTACTCAGAGTTTCTATATGAGCAGTCTAATTACCTCCCCAGCCTATTTTGACTTTTCTGCCATCAGAGAAAAAGAAAAATGTACCTCATGTGGAGAATGATGTTCTTGGAAATGTTAGCCTCCTCCCCTTGACTTTTGCCTCTTCTGGAAGACATTATTTCCAGAGCCTTTTCAAATTATTTTTCACTTGTATTATTTGAAAGGCAGCAGGTAAAGCTCAAAGCTTGCCCTTTTCCTCTAATCCTATTAAAGCTGGCATTTCCTGAAAGAGAAAGGACTTCTACAAAGACAGACACTAACCTTTCTACTGTGTTTATTTTTGTTCTTTCCTTGCTCCAGATGCTTGAAGGTAGGTGTTTGACAGGTAAAACTGTGCAACTATAATACCCTCCCCTTCTCTCCTTTTGCAGCCGACTCTCAGTGAGGGAGTGACCTGTTTAGGCAGGGGTTTGTTGGCACTGCAGCTACCTGTGTACTGTGGAAACTGTGAGCTGACTGTGTCATATCCACTGATGCTAATAATTCTGTCACTTAACAGAAAAATCTACTGCCCTGCTATTAAATGTCTGTGATGAAAAATTGGACAGAAGTTACAACACTGGGTAAAGCTTTTGGAATTAACTTAGTGGTGAAAGGATGACTATGGGGTGGTGAGATTCTTTGAAAGCATAATTGTTTAGCTGTATTTGTCTTGTCGCAATATCTGAGTCACTCAAAATATATCAGCAATGCTGTAAAGTTTGGGAAGTATTGCCACTTTCTGAATGAGGAACTGAAAGGTAAACAGGCAGGATATTTAAAGCTTTGTAGGCACCTAAGTACTACACTGTATGTATGGATGGGTTAAGCTGCTTAAATGCATCCAAGAATTTAACTCAGAGTGAGCTGCTCTAGGCTACCACAGAGAGAATTGCTGGTGCAGCAAGAAATAGAAGTTGCTCTTATGCCAGGCCAGTGTCCTAATAACAAGATTGGGCTTTTCCTAGAAAAAGGGAACTGTATGTAACCACTTACGTGGTGTGTCACAACATGTGAGGAGAGCTCATCCAGCGAGTGCCTTCCATCACGCTGAAGTTCTTTGTACACTGCTCTGGTAGATGGGAAAGGCAATTTGTTCTTGATTCCCTATCCTTTCCTACAAGTACCAGCAGGATTTTTTAGTTGTGCTCTTCTGTGATCCCAGCAATTACCCATTCAGAATGAAACTGAGTCAGCCACAAGTGTGAGTGTATGTTACCAAAGGTAGTAACTCACACCAGCCTCGTGTGGCTGCTATCTCAGCTAAGTTTAACCCCAAGGCTCATAGCTCTTGCAGAAATATGACCTTTAAGCAGCCAAGCTGGTTAAATTGCTGTACAGAGGGAAACTATGTAAACAGGTCACTCACTGGCTTTCGTAGAGTTGCAGCTGTTGATGTGACTATTGGTGTGGAAAAAAGAATAGCAAATCTTGTTTTGCTTGGCACAGAAACATATTTGCATTTTGAAATGGGGTATGAAGTTAATGGGACTAAACTGCATAATATAAATAAAAAGTTTGCAGCTGCGAGATATAGTTTCAAGATAGGTACTGGTCTTTCCTGCACGTTTTTCCCTACACAGTGATGGTTTAAAACAGCAAACTGCTTTTTTTATGGCCAAGGTCCCCTCCATACTATTGGTTTTAATTCATATTTACATATTGATAATGCTGTTAATTATGACCTGCAACCTGTTATGAATTAATGATTACCTGCTGTTAATTTCTTCTAGCTAAATATTTGCTATGTTATGAGTGCTAGATATTTGCTATGTTATGAGTGTGTTATGGAGATCATAAAATGATTCCAAGCAGACCATGGGGCAGAGATTAACATACTGAGAAGAACAAAGCAAACTTTTCAGGCTGGAAAGTGCTAGGCAGAGCTGGGAGAAAAATTTCTGCTGCTGAGTTGCACTGGGGCAAGAGAAAGTCATGCAGATATTAAACATAGCAGAGGGAAGGTGGTAATACCAGAATGCCAAATGGAGTTAGACTGTGTTTAAAAATGTTGAGAAATATTATATCATCTGTTATGCCTGCTCACTTGTGTTGTTGATGTAAAATAGGAATGCCTTGCAGAGGATATTAAAGCTGTTGCTTTTTAAAATTATGTTTGGTTCAAGCAGTCTTGCTAGCTTTGCTCCAGCCTAAATCCTAAAATCTGTAATGGAATTATTTGCAGATTTTTGTCATATCAGCAAGTGCAGATGTTGAGCAAAAAGAGGGTACAGTATAGGTCAGAGGTAGGTTTAGTTAAGAAATATTCTGAAACAACATCATTCCCTACAAAACCTTCTGTGCTTTTTCTCCAAGTGTCAGAAGCACAAGCTACATCCAGCCTGGGGTTTTTTGTGAACAAAGTGGATGGCAAGTGGGTTTATGAATGCATACATAGTCATTTGGTGAACTACAGGCCCATTTCTGGCTTCACTCCAAGCCTAGTGGTGCCACAGATGAGACGGTGCCCACTTCAGAATTTGTGAGACTGAGAGGGAAGAAATTAAAGAGTATCATGAATCCTCAACATGAATGACTGGGGGTGTTCTGCCACGGCAGCAGGGGGCAGAATAAACCCTCCTGTCTGGTATGATGCTCACACATCCCTTTATCTACGCTTGGATTTTGCCTTTGTTTTTTTAGGGTCAGGAGTTGACTATCCGTCAGATTGCTCTTCTTGGCTTCAGAGACTTGGTCTTGCTAAAAGTAAAGTTGGAAGAAATCCTCCCCCTGGTCCAGACAAAGGTTCCAGCTTCCATTGTCCAGATGCTGTTAATTCTGCAGGTGGGGAACCTCTGCTCTTCTTCATCTGACTCACTTGGGTATCTTGACGTCGTTGAAATCATACAAACACTGGAGGAAAAGTGGGGAGAGTAGAGGGTGTGATGAAGGTGGTGTGATGTGTGCTTATTTGGGAGTGGTCAGTGTTAAAATGAGAGCTGAATTTGGATGCCCCGAGCTTTCCTGGGAACAGGTAAAGATGTTGCCTTGAAAGAGCTGGGTTTTTACACTTTTTTTTTTTTTTTTTTTTTTTTTTTGATACCTCTCCTCCCCATCTAGGAACAGTGTCAGTACTCCCTTTTTCACACAAATTTTCATCTTCTAGCTTGTCTGAATGCCTCTTTGTGCCCTAATTTTCATAATTTGTCAGCTTTGCAAGGACAGGGCAAGTCTCCATCACAACAGATAATGGAATTTGTATGGACTGTGGCTCTGGTTGCTTGACACCAGCACCGTGGCTGGCTGGGATGCTGAGTAGTGCCCATTAGAGGAGAAATATCTTTTGGCAGCAGGCAAAATGAGAGGCCATCTTTCAAAGGCCTCTCCCAAGAGATCTAGAGCATCTGTGGTAACTATCGTCTTTTTCCAGGTCTCAACAGAATACTTTCCAAGCATGTCAAATACAGCCAGTTTTGGTTTTTTCTCATATTGCCCAGCCTGACAGTCCTGAAAAATGCCATCTCACATGTTAGAGTTGACAGAATCATAGAATGGTTTGGGTTGGAGGGGATCATACAGTTCCAACCTCCATGCCATGGGCAGGGACACCTTCCACTAGACCAGGCTGTTCAGAGCTCCATCCAGCCTTCCTCTGAGCCATGTGCAGGACCTTTCATTTGACCTTGTTGATTATCAGGAGGTTTGCACAGGCCCATATCTTGAGCATTTCAAAGTCTCTCTTGATGGCATCCCTTCCCTCCAACATACCACACACCCTGGTGACTTTTATTTCTTCTCTAACATAATGGGTGTCTGAGAATTAAACTTTATGAAGCACAAACAAAATTGCAAAGTGGCTAAGCTGGTAGTTCTGTATGAACTCTCACTGTTCTGATGTTCCAGTGACCCAGACTGGAACAGCAGGTGATACTAAAGTGCTACCTCAATTTCTCTGAATGTTTTTAATACAAGACTCTTGAGAGCAAAGAGATTCTCAAAGCAACACATTTGAGGAAAAAAGCTTATTGAGGCTTTGCAGGAAGTTAAGTGTGAAAGGTTTCTGAAATTGCTGTTAAATTGGTTGGTGTTATCTACCACCTTCACAGCTGTAAGCTGAACCACAGAGGGTGCTTTGCCTGCAGTCCTGCCTGGAAAGAGAAGTGCTTTGCCCAGGGTGTGTTAAGGCTTTTCTACCAAGAGGTGTTTTCTGGTAGAACCACCCTGGCATGATGTCACTGCTGCATTGCACTGTGCACATCCTCAGTGTGAGCACACTTTGTACCTTCCTGTCACTTGCTCAGAAAAAAGATCTGTCTGCTCAGTGGCCATAAGGCGTGGCTGTAACTTCAAGGAGATTGACCTGAAAGGCACCCAAACCTCCATCAGCTCCAAAAGCTTTACTCACGCAGTTGGGATATTCCAGCACACAGAGAATTGACAGACCCCAGGCTTTATTCCAAAATCTTTTAAAGGTAATTTGACCTTTTGTGTTTGATTTTCAGAGTGTCCATGAGCCTACTGGCCCCACTGAGGGCTATCTGCAGCTGGAAGAACTGGTCAAGCAGGTGGTATCACCATTCTTAGGTTTGTGTGAGGATCACAGCTCGTCTGGTAGCACCTGTTTGCTTGGTAAGACATGCACATTGTACTGGAACTATTATTGGGGTGCGCAGGTTGGGTAACGGGGGGCATTGGTGCTGGAAAAGGAAACAGTGCATGACTCCATGAGAGACAGAAAACAAAGGCTAAAACACCCTTGAAAAGGCCCTGATTAATGTTTCTGGATACAAGTTTGTGTGACAGACTTTTTCTTGTCCATGACCTAATGAGCTATTAGTGCCCTATCACTGCACACAGACCCCCACAATGTCTCCCCTCTCTCTGGACATGGACTGGATTTGAAAACCCCTTTGTCCATGCTTGGTGTACTGCTTTCACCACAGTGAGAGACCTGGTCCTTTGCTGCCTGCCTGCTAGCCTGCTTCAGCTGCTGAATCAATCAGCTTTTGCAAACCGCTGAACTGTTGCATATTAATTCTGAGGGATGACAGGGATTTTGCATAAAGTCTTCCTTCCATCTGAGGATTCTGTTTAAAAGAAAACCCCAAATTAAAATTCTGTGTTTAAAGTGTGGATAAACATATCCAGGTGAGAGAATGGGCACCTCACTTAAGGAAGAGTATGATCATTCTGGGAACCTTCTTCACATGATGCAGGAGCTCTGCTCACACATGTGGCTAGCCAGAAGAGCTTGGCCAGCTAATGGGCATAGTGTTACTGATTTGATGGTCAAGAAATTTAAATAGAGCAAGTGAAGAAAGCTCTAGTCTCCCTCTGTTTTTGCTACCTTCAGCCTTTGATTTGATGTAAAATTGTAGCAAGCTGGAGACCCACAAGGTGCCTTGTAGTACACTTAGCAGCATATGGGCAGAGATGGTCTTGTGGTAGGAGAACTTAATTGCAACTCGGACAGTCTGTGCCTGTAATAAACCTATGGCATTGCTTTAGGAAAACTGTGGCTCAAGAGTTTTGTTCTTGTGGTTGCTGGGCAATCAGCTATCTTCTGTGCAAGTGAGCATGGTTGTGCAGTTCAGCATGGATTAGCAGATCTGTTCCTAGGGCTCAATCAGACCAAAATCCCTTGTAAAAGTTGGACTTTGACAGATTTGATTGCTTTGCTGATTAGGGACAAGCACATGCTGCTGCGATGGTTTGAAAGGCAGCTGCCTGACCTGTGCTGAAGTTTCTAGCCATTCTGGATTTCTGCCAGCTCAACAAAGCATTTGTGCCATTAAAAAAAAAAAAAAAAAAAGAAAACCTACACAAGCTGGCCTTGTAAAGATTATATGCCTTAAAATAATTAAACTTACTTTGACTTTTAGCTGTCATTTATTTGTGTATATTTTCAAGGTGGCCTTTTACTCTTGCTCCACCCTTTGGTGATCATGAGGAAAGAAGGAATTTCTTTTTGCAGTACAAGACAGGGACTGCAAAACTGCACTTTTCTACAAATAATCTTGGTACTTTCACAGTGCTGCTGTGGAAGAGGCTTCTCTTCCTTATCTTTCATTTTTAATCAGACTTCTTTCTCTTCCCTCTCCCTCTTTCAGTCATCATTTTACTTTCTCAGAACCAGTTTCTTCTCTCACTGGGCAGCCTGTAATGATGGTGACCCCCAGTAGGTTCCCCACAGTAGCTTTTGGGAGGGGCTGTTGGGCTTTGGGTGTGCTTGCATTGTACACAGCTGCTCTGGAGGCCAGACTGCCCTCTGGACTGGAGCTTCAGGGTAAATGAGCATTGGGAAATGTGACTGAAGGTGTCTGCTCCCAGCTGGGACTGTACATAACGCTTCAGCCTGCAAGGCTGCTGTCTCTTAAGCTGATTTAAAGCAGAGAGGTGTGAAAGGGACAGGACCCCTCACAGAGGGGAGTTGTAGATGGCAGCATTTCCGTCTGGTCTGTTAGCTTTTTGCCTTTTGCCTGTGTGAATTAGCCATAACCTGCATGGTTAGGATGCAATATCCCAAAGACATCTAGCTGGCCAAGAAAGAGAGTTTGTATTGGGGATAGGAAAGAAGGTAAAACAGCCACACATCACTGCTGACCTGAGGTTGCTTGCAAAAAAGTCCCAGAAAAACTCCTCCCAGTTTATATTCCTGGTCATAAGGGACCAAAATAAAAATAACATTTCTAGTTAAGCTATGCAGAGCGACTCCCTTAAGAGACTTTCTTTTGTGGCCAAGAAAGTAAAGGGGGAAAAGTAAAGCAATAAATCCATTGCTTTACTTTTAGAGTTTAGACTAATTTCACCTAATTTTTTTCTCAAAAGAGTCATATCCTAATGCCCTTTAATACTACAGCTTGCTGTGGCTTGGGCTGCAGATGAAACCTAGAGAATGTATTTGCTGTAACCAGCCTCAGAAATGATTTTTGCATACTCATAAGTGTAAATGAACCATTTTGAATTGATGTATTACTGGCAGTAACAGGGTGAAGGCTGCTCACCTGTTCCTCCCTGCAACAAATAGTTTGTTTTCTGCTTTTCTTCCTGATACAAGCTTCCAAAACTCTTATAACATTCAGTGATTAGTGCTTTGCTTTGCGTTTTGTTACTCTTATACTTCTGCAGTCTTGGTTGGAAGCCTTTTATATGGTTTAAAGGCTTCTGACTATGAAATGAGACCCTGCACTTCAGTGAAGTTAGTGAGAAACAGAGGGACACATAGGGAATGGCTCCATCAGCTGCTGCAGGGATAGACCCACAGGAGGTGTTCAAAACCACCTGGAACATTGCAGGAGGTGGAAGCCAGCAGGGGAGCAGTAGCAGTGTCTGATTCAACCTGCTGGGGTGGGATTACAGTGAGCCAGGGCAAAACTCTGACCCTTGCCTTCCTTCAGGCTTGCAGTGTCAGAATTGTCATGTGCTTCATGGTACTGCTCTGGAGACTGCACCTTGGGGCTGTGCTTTAGACCTGGCAATTTTCCTCCTTGACATTTTGCTGAGCAGACTGTGCAGCCCACACCCAGCCATTCCGTGCCACTGCCTCTCCTCTTCAGCAAAAATCCTGCCTTTCCTTTGTGCCCCTCTTCCCAGGCTGCTGTGGACTGTTCCTGTGCACTCTTAGGTGTTTTCTGTGTCCAGCCTCCAAAACAGATGTGATGCAAAGTGGATGAAATGTCCTTTTTCTGGCATGATCTTTAAAAAATATGTCGGGATAATGCCAACAGAATAGCCTGTTCCTAGGCAGACGTAGAGACAGTGCAATGTAAGCATCAGGAATTTCACATTGACAACAGCTAATGGCACTTCCTGAGAGAAATTCTTCAGAGACAGGGATGGCAATTCAAATCCACGCTGAATGTTTTGTTGGAGACTTGTGCCACTTTAGTGTCACTTATTTTAATGAACCTGCATGTGAGATTCACTACCTACTTGGTTTTCACCCCTTGATAAAAGAGAAGACTCTGAGGATGCTAAAGAGAGTCCCTTGGCTACACTGGTGACATTTTGGCTCACTTCTCTCGCAGGCAGCAGCCCCTGCAGCAGGATGGGAGGTCTCTCCTCTCTGGGTAGAGGCAGATTTCCTTTCCCAGCACCTAGCAGTATGAACTAGTGAGCTCCTGACTGCTTTCCAGTGGTAATGAAGTGGGCACTCTGTAGCTGCACGCTGAATTTTCTCTGTTCCCGAGGCCAGCCCAGCAGTGTGGGCAGCTCTCTGTGTGCTGTTGACCATTCCTGCTGCCTCTTTCCCTTACAGAGAGAAGGTACTCCAGATCCTGCCCTAAGGCCCTGACCCCGCTGACGGAGCAGGAGGGCGAGGCCTACCTGGAGAAGTGTGGGAGCATCCGTCGGCACACGGTGGCCAACGCTCACTCGGACCTCCAGCTGCTGGCCATGGCCTCCATGATGCACACGGGGATGGTGGTGGAGGAGCAGGACACTCCTGACAAGTGCCTGCTGCTGCAGCCCAGCTGCTTCGGGCCCCGGCAGTGCTCCAGCGAGCCCAGCATCGCCGACGGCCCTGAGGCAGCCGCAGCCGGCAGGCAGGACCCTGCTGAGCTCAACTGCACCTCTGTCTGCTAGGAGGAGGCTGCCTGAGGGGTGGAGAACTGTGTGCACCAAGCTGGACAAAGGGGTGTGTCATCCCTGCTGGGGAAAGAGGAGAAAAATAGGAATTGTGCTCATGTCATTGAAATGGGCCTGAGGGTTCATATGGCTGAGAATGGTATCTAGACAGGTTCTTTTGCCAGCCTGGGATCGTTGCTGGTGGAGGTACCAGGCTGCTCCCAAGTGACCACTGAGGGCTGCAGAGGTTTTGCTGTTGTACAGCACAGTCTGCCTTCTGTAAGGTTTCTCTATTAGTATTAACTTCTTGGTGACACCTTTCCTTGGTTTTGTTTGGTATGATACAAATTGAGTTCTTTCTGCTTTTCTCCCTCTTTCCCAATTGTGCTTCTTCTTTGTTCTTTGTCCCTGTAGTGGAGGCCTCTGTGCTCTGTGTTCTCTTTGCTTCTGGTGCTTCATGGTGAAGGCTGAGCACTTAATTTCTCTTTTAAAGTTGAACTCAGGGTTGAAGCCATTTGCATCCTGCAGAAAGATCTGCTGAGGTGACTTGTGAGAGAAGATCCTTCATTTTGCTTCCCATGGGCATGGATGAAAAGTCCAAATCAGAATTGATCAGACTTGCTTTTTTCCCCAGGCCTGAAGAGAACCGAGTATATGTGGAATTGAGCTGAGTACTTCATATGTAGTTTATTTGGTTCCAGTCATATCCTGGGGCTTCTGGTATTTGGAATCAATTTGCTCTCAAAATTTCAGTGGTGATAGGGCTATGATGAAGGAGAAAATCAAATGGGTAGGAGATGCAAAGGTGCTTCTCAGCACTGGGCCATTGTGACTGCAGATCAGGAGGTGATGATCAGTATTTCATCCTGAGCCTACCCTGGTACTTTTAGCACTTGTGGATTTCATGAGACCGAGGATTATCAGTGGGTGTGGAAAGGAGTCCTGGCTCAGTGCATTCATGAAGTGCTCCTGACCTCCAGTGGTATCTGACTCAGTGCAGTATTGCTTTTAAGATAAAGTGAGGGCTTTTTGCTGTCTTTGGTTTTGTTTTTGTTGTGAAGATTTAGGAGTGGGTCCAGTTTTCAGGTGTCTGTGTCAGGCACTGCAACCTGAAGTGTCTGCTTTGTAGCATCACTTGGTACCCCAGTTCTGCTTCTGTGGGGACAGAGCCAGTCTGTTTCAGCTGTCCCTGGGATGCTCTGCTGATGTCTTGCTAAGCAGATTTGCAAGTGTTATCATAGGCTTAGAGGTGAACTGCAGTGCTGACTTAAATGTCAAATCCCATTGAAAACATGGACACAACACAACCAGCACTTGAATCTACTCCAAGTGGTACTTGGTAAATAAGTGTGTCTTGACAAGGAAACAGAAGGTTAGGATGAGCCTTTGGGATGTTTTTTTTGCATGCTATGACATTAACTGCAGAATTTTCCATGCTTCTGTTAGGCATTAAACATCTTCTGCCCCACTGGCTGCACTGGAGCACAGCTCTGACCTGCCAGGATTTGGCATTAGTAGCACATGCAGCAAAAGGAGAGCGGGTTATTATATGGCAGCAAAGCATCAGAAACACCAGCTATGAGCACAAGCCAGGCTGCCTTGGTAAATGAGGGTGCTGCTTTGTCTGCTGTGCTTTGCAATGTTGAGAGAGGTACTTGGAAGAGCCTCCTTTTCCTCCTGTCACAAGAGCTCTTGGCCTTTGGGGAAAGGCCCAGTGGATGGATCAGCAGCTGTGCTTTCCATGCCAGGAGAAGAGGTTCAGTGGTGCTGGCTGCCTCCTCTTCCTCAGAGCACCCACATCCAGCAGAGGCCAGGGAGATGTGCCTTTAAGCAGCATTCCCTTCAGGTGGATTGTAGGATAAATTGCTTTCTTGTTCATAAATTGGCCTGACCAGGCCAGCTTACTGCCATGTGCCCCAGGGCAGCCATGGATTGTGGTGGCAGCCACACCATGCAGGTCTCCCTTGGCACAGTCCCCCCAGCTTGGGGCACATGATGGTGTCCTGCTCACAGTTAATTTCTTCAGCCCTTGCTGTGACTGAGTCTTCTCTTAGTCACACTGAGGTGTGTGGGGAAGTGGTCAGGTCATCCTGCAGCATTTCAGTTCACTCTCATGAATGCTTTTCTTCTTTCTGTTTCTCCTGTGGCCTAGTTGCCTTCTGTAAATACCCAAACCATTTCGATCAGAGGGCAGCACCCTCTTTTATGGTGAAAACTAGAACAATGTATTTATTTCCTGACATATTCTTGGATCATCTCTAGGGCTAATAGGAATTAGTCCTGGTTTTAACTTGAATTTCTTTTGTTTTACATGTATGTATGATTTTAATTATTTTGGTTTTGTATCTGTTACTTTGCAAAAATTTGCACCAAGCCCTCTGAATCATGCACTTGCCCCATTGTTTTGTTTTTATGGAGAATTAAAGCTGGTGGCTTTACTTTGTGAACTGAAGTAAACACAACCTGTTCTGTAAACCACACTGAGTGTATGGTCACGACCACCACATTTACAGCCACGTGAGGTTGCACAAGCCTCTGCAAGTGCTCTTCTTTTCCAGGCTGGGTGAACCTGAAGGTGGCTGGAAAGCTATGCCATGCTGAGGCTGGCTTGGAAGGGCCCTGGGAGCAGCTCTGAGGAGCAATGCTGAGCAGTGCTGAGGAAGCTTCCAGTCCTCTGGAAGCAAAGACCCTGTCCCCTTGCCAGAGCTACAGCATGAGAAACGCTTGCATTTTGGATACAGGGTTCTGATTTGGGTTTGCACTGTGGTTGCTGACCATGCCACATGGCTGTGACAGGGCCACAGGGTGGGTCTTTTCTACCCTTGTGGTCACCAACCTGAGAACACCTCCCGGAGGAGCTGTCAGAACGGGAAGAAGGAATTTCTCTTACCACCTCCTGAAGTCTGTTACCTTCTACTTCAATAATGACCTAGACTGAGCCACTTCTCATCACACTGAATCGGTCTTCCCTTTTTACTCTGTATCCTTCTTAAGGTAAGTGATTTATTCTGTGTCCATGTAATTCTGTCATAAACTTATTGATGGGACTATTCTTAGTACCACTGGCCTTTTTCCTGATATTCCCCATAGCCAAGCACATGTTTTTATTGCCAGGAAGCAGAGCTGCTTCTGGTCCTAGCCAAGTGGACAGCAACTTGGTTTATTTTTTAATTTTTTTATCAATCAGAGAACTTGCAGTATATCTTGCTGGCACTGATGGGAGCAGGGTGAACACTGCAGGGTTTGGGTTGCTTTTTCTTTTTAGGTCCAGGTTCACCTGGAAGGCCTTTTGGCACTCGCCACTGAGTCAGCAGATGGAAAATATTTGGCTCTTAGCAGCAACCTGTGTCCTCCAGAGGAGAAACTGCAGGTCTAGTAAGAGACAAATTGTGGTATTTATGGTGTGCTTAGTTATGCAAACTCTTTAATTTTGCTGTAGTCTCAGAGTAGAAAACCTTCCTAACTGGATTCCGTGTTCCTTCCCAGCCTGGCTCCTTCCCCATGGCAGAGCAGGACTCCTGGGCCTGGCAGAGTGCAGCTCCCTCACCCTGAAGGAAGGTTGTGTGTTAGACAAAGCCACCAAATGGGTGTCTGAGCTCCTGAAAGAGGCCAGGCTGGCTGGCATCCCTGGCTGCCCCTTCCCGCTTGGGACAGGTCTGCACAGAGCCAGCACCACTTCCCACTCAGGAAAGCAGGTGAGAAAGCAAGACCCACCCTGGCACAGATTCCCCACAGTGCCCAGGGAGTTTCCCAGGGGTACTGAGCTGGAAATTCAGCCCACAGTCAACATTCTCTGTAGGAAAGTCACTGCAAATTTTCCTGTTAATTAAAAGTGTGAAGGGCAGGGTATTTGGTATTTCCCTGAGCAAAGATAAGGTAATTAGTCATCCTATTCATATTTCAAATATGGAAGGTGGATCTGGCAGGACAAAAATAGGTTAAATGGGATATTCTTGCTTGCCTACATGTTTGGAGAGGGCTTTCTCTTCCCCCTGCTATCCCAACAGCTCCAGGTAAGGGCACCAAGCATTCAGCTACATAAACAAAAGCTTTAAAACAGAGGTAGCAGATTTTAAAGCAACTTTCCAGCAAAGGTACAGCTCATTCTCATCAATGTGGTGCTCAAAATGGCATGCTGTAAAATAAGTGCCACTTGCCACCTGAGAATTGGGTGCCTTTTATTCATTACTTGCATCTGAAATTACGTGGAGTACCCTTGTTAGTTATTCCCACCTGGGAGAGCAAGTGCTGTATCATTGTTGTGCCAGTTTACATCTCTCCTATGTGTAAGTTCATCCTTCCAGGGGGCTAATCCTGCCCCAAGCCCTTCTTCAGGTTTTGTGAAAGCTGTCCTAAGTCCACAAGGAGTGGCAGCTCAGATGTTTGAGTAGTTTGGGTGCATTTCTCCAAACCAAGTGATGAAAAGAAGTGACAACTGCAGTGCAGAAGTAAGTGAACTGAAAATTGTCATTATTTATCAACAGTTGCTTGCTGTGCATGGCCCTCTTGGGGCCACAAATATGGGCTGGTGTGTAAGAGACTCACCTGTATGGGAGAGAGCAGTAAAGAAGAGTTATATGCAGGTAAAGGAAATAGGTGGTTAGATTAATTTTCACCTGAATAATTGGTATAACAGAAGGTAGAGGCTTGATTGTAGTTTGATCACCAGACTTTGCAATGAGCAAAAGGAAAGCAAACTCCTTAAACAAAAAGATAATGGCTTGAAGGGTCCTACCTACCCTGAACTCCTGCCATAGCACAGAGCAGATTTTCAGTAGCTGTGAATTGCAAGAGTATTCAGGGAGTTGCTGTTTGAAGTGTCTCTCATTTGGCTTTAAAGCTAATTCCCACTTATGCCAAGAGCTAGTTGATAATTCTTGTGGCATAATTATTATAGACTGTGCAGTTAACAACCTCTGTTACATTGGAAAATGGATTGGAGTCAGAGAATCATTCTTTCTGACCTTGAAATTTATGAAGACAGCTGCATTGGCTCACACACAGGACTTTTCTGTGATTGTTGAGTTGTTTTTGTTTGTTGGGGTTTTTTTTAAACTTTTTTAAAACCTTTTTTTTTTTTTAACCTGAACGAGTGAGTTCTGTTAGAATTGCTTGGGCTTCTCAAAGACAGACCAGTTATAAGACACTCAGTCTTCAAGTCAGTACTGCAACAGGACTACCTAGAAAGTGACAGAATTTATTTATATTAAATGTCAGTAAGAAACCACAGACTGTGCTACAAATCAGCTGCCCTGCAGGCCTCTGATACTGATTTACACCCATCACTGGTAAGCCAGCCCTCTTTTTCACTGGGGATTTTTAATCCTCTTCACACGAAAGGCGTATTGACTAACATATCAATGGCTGTTAGAGTAGAAACTTGTTCACTCTTGTCCCCCGTGTATCTGTCTCATGGCTTCACTATGACAAGTGCTAAACCTGTCTTTCTTCAGCACATCTCAGGCTGATGGATTGTGTATTTGCTGTGTGGTTGGATATAAGAGATGAGAGGGTGGGAGAAGCTGTTCTGCAGGAGAGAACTGACAGTATGTGTGAAAAGCACTTCTTAAGTGGTGTGTATGCACCACATCTACAAAAAACTCTCTTCTAATTTTTTTTGTGGGAATGGGAGGAGAGTTCTGATGTGCATTTGGAACTTTGAATCTCAGAGATTCAGAACCACTGTCCATTAGAAGTTAGAGTGAATGCAGAGGATTTCTTGTGATTTTCCCCCATCCTGTTGCTTTTTTCAGAAGACAGCAGTGGATGGTGATTACGTGCTGAGCATGGCTGTGTTTGGTAGTGCAGATGGAGCTCCTCTGAGTTCCTCCATTCAGCCCATCACTGAATGTCATCAGTCTCTTCTGGCTTTTAAATGTTCAACACCTCTCTTCCCTGGAAGCCCTGCAGCAGCTGGAGAGATGCTGCCTGCTGGACCCACAGTCCTGCTTAAATGCAGTGGCTCATCCTCAATAGCTCTGTGTTAAGGAACCTTTCCTGTCCCACCATCCAGGAGCTGCTCTGGCAGTCACACTCCCACCCCCTGAGCTGTGGGAAACCCAGAGCTGAGCTGGTAAGGAGCCCTTTTCTCTGAGTGTGAGGTGTGCATCAAGCCAAGAGGGGCACCCATGGGATTACTGGAGCCACCCACTGTGAAGGGGCTTTGTTCCCAGCAGGGACAGTCTGGAGTGGTGGCAGTGTGACTGCCAGAGTGACTCCTGAATGGTGAGACAGGAAAGTTTCCTTAACAACTTCAGGGAAAAGCAGTTGCCACCATCTAGCTATTCTCCTGTCTAAGAGTGTCCTGTAGTTGCTAAAAAAGTCCTGCTCTTTGAAATGAAAGTAAATGCTGCAGTAAATGAGACCTGAGAGCATTTGTCAAGAGCCTCTTCTAGCTTATTGAAATGCATGAGCTGCTGTGAACAAGGCACCCATGCTTGTCAGGCAAACAAACAAGAAAGCTCATTTTCAAAAGCTTATTTCTTTGGGTTTATCCAATGCTTAATCTAATCCACTGTTTGTCTGCATCAACATAGCTGTCCTCCTTTGCCTGGGGTTTACAGTGTGGAGAGAAAATTGTTCAAGATCTGGACCTCTCTCCTCTCTTTTCTTTTTTTCCTCATTAACTGTAGTGGTGAGCTGATTGACTCACAGAGCTGGTGATGCCTTCAGAGGGCAGCAGCAGCCTCTCTCCACTCCTCCTCTGGCTTGGCAGCGCTGACAAAGACTCAGCTCTCTATGAAATAGTGAGGGTCCGTTCAGAAGCAGACACTGCTGTTTGTAGGGTTCGTGGAGAGACCAGTGGAGCAGGACTAGGCCTTTGAGGGAGTGACACTGCAGATGTGCTCTTCCTACATTGATTGCTTGTTTGGGATTGTCCTTATTGGGAAAGCCTCCAATGGGCTTTGGAGGGTCTTAGAGGAAAGCAAATTCGTCCCTGTCTCTTACCCTCCAAGCCTGCCCTCCCTTCCCCAGGCTCAGCCTCTGTCCCTGCTGTGTGCACTGCGTGCTGTGGAGCCTCTGGCTCAGGTTGTACCTGGTGTTACTGCAGAAAATGTGGGTTTGGGAGGAGGAGGAGAGCAGAACTCATGAACCAAGCCCTAAAAATCTTTTTTGCAGTGATGAGTCCAAAACTGAACATAGGATTAGAGATGCGGCTCAAAGGAACTATGAGTAAGTACAATTCCATGGGAGGAAGGCTTACCCATCCTTTTACCCTCTCTCATGCTGGTAAGGACATGTGATGGTGTTGGATGCACAGTCCTGGCTCAAAAACCTGAGGACAGTTGGACTGGACTTGTGCAATTTTTGTTAGAATTTATTTTTCTTATCTTTGTATAGATACATTATGTATTATACATGATCTATTTATAATATACATTTGTATATGTTTAATACAGTACATCAATATAATACTACATTTAATAATTTAAAACATGTCTCTTTATGTATATAATTTTTATTTTTGTGCTGAGTTTGTTATCTTTATAATTTTATTTATCTGAGACTATTACAACTGGACTGAGAATATACAGGAACCAGAAATAGGCAGAGGTTAAAGTATGGCTCCTTTGCATTCACATCTTGGCTTCCACTGCTGTTTGAAAGCAGCCAAGAAACCAAGAAATCCACTGTGGCTGTTCATTGCTGTCCTGGGTGTTTGGTGGTCTGACCTCCCTTTTCCCAACAGTACTGACTTACCTTTCAGGATAATTATATTCCAGGACAATTTTATTTCTATTTATATAAAGTCTAAGTCCCTTCCATTCTCAGAAGATCCAAAAGCACACACTGAGATGAATTTAAAATATTCAGTCCCTGCCTTTTATCTAGAGGAATGAGTACAGGCCCATGCCCATGTTAAGGACTTTTGCATGAAGAAACTCAAGCTCAGGGAGTTGTTTCTAGAAGGTGAATCACACTGGAGGCACTTGCTTAGGCAAGTCTAAACTCCACACTGTGAAGTTTATCACATCTGGGTGTGATACTGAAACTAGGAACACTTGTATGTGTCACTTTTCCCTGGCAGTACCTTCGCTCCTTAACACTGTTAGCAAAGGCCAAGGTCATACCTGGCTGAAACTATTTCTTTATTAAAGGCAGCAACAGAAACAAAATTAAATCTTGGAGAGAAGCAAGTCCATGAAGGCAGGAATACCAGGATGGAATCACAGGTGCTAACTCAAGATACTATTGTAGGATTTAACTCCTGGACTTCACACCTTCACCTGACACTTGCTGTGCGAGCACGCAGAGGAGCAGCTGCTGCTGAAGGGGAAACCAGCAAGTTACTAATACTGGTCTGTAGCACGAGTCAGGACTCTGCACATCAGGTGAGACAAGGAAAGGTTTGTGTTGTTGCCTTCCCCTCCCCCCCCAGTGTGTCAATTATCAGCTGAGTTTCATGGAAATCGGGTTCTGTCTGAGAGGACTAAGAAACTGAAACCTCACATTTTTGGACAGTTTATCACAGGGCTAGAACGATATCGGTCCTGCTTATAATCAGCTAAGAGAACAGAGGTGTTTTTTTCAAAATTGTCAGTACCAAACTGCTAAAACACTGCTCTGTTTATGCCTTGTTCCCTTCACTGCTGAGTGGGATAAGTCTCTGGACAAAAGCCATGGCCTATGAATCCATTCTGCTCCAGGCCCACACCTGTCAAGTCTGGCCAAGTCAAGTGAAACCTGGTACCTCAGTGAGAAACTCTCAGCTGGAATCTCCAGGACCAGGGGTAGACCAGAGCTTTTCCCCTGCTTCATCAGCAGGTGACTGGCTGCAATAACCACCCCCTGGTGTGGCAGAGCAGCCAGCTCCTGGAGGCAACAAAGGAGCAGTGTGGAATCACTGAACTCAGAAACACTCTGGCTGCATGGCCTCAGAGATCACTCAGAGCACAAACCAAAAGGAAAAGAAGGCTCATTAGTTGAGGCTGAGACTGTAGCTAATAAAGAAATTATTTTCCTATTGCACAATCTCCTCCTTGCACACAGTTTCCTATTCCATGGAAGAGGAAAACCCCCAGCCAAAATGCAGCTTTCAGAGCTGTGAAATGCAAGTGGTTGTTTCAGTGGAGCAAATGTTCAAAGAACATTATCACCAGAAGAGCAGTCAGGGAAGCAGGGCCACAGCATTTGAGCAGAAAGATTATTTTCACTATGCTGTAGCTCAGTCTTTATTTGCTCTGCATTCAGCATGCACTAGCAAGGTAAATTTTTTTACAGTTTTTTTTTTTTTTTTTTTTTTTTTTTTTTTTTTTTTTTGAAATAGAAAAAATTGCAGTCTTTTGAAAGTGTTGAGAAGTGGTGACAACAGGTCCACTTGGGATAATACCTGGGTGAGGAAGGACTCAAGATATGACCACATTTCAGAATCTTTCTGCTTTTGTGCAGACAAGAAGAAACGAAAAAAAAGAAAGGACAGGAGAAACAAGGACAGCTCTGGCTGGGGGTTGGCTTTTTTAATGCTGTTGCAAACTGGAAAGGACTACAGAACTAGTGTGAGCTCTTCACCCATTCTGAGCCCTGACAAGCTTGAAATAACTTAAGCACGTGTCTGCCTGTGTGCTCAGAGACTTATATTTATCAAGGTGGTTAGATTTAATTGTAATAACTTAAAACCAGTAAAGGAAGAAGACCTGAAGGCCACAGCTCCTTACATTTGGTACTTCAAGCTCACTAAGACTGTCAGGTCCTGTGAAGGTGGTGATGGCACAAGGGTTGACTCAGTCCAGCTGGTGAAACTCTCCCTTCCAGATGGAGTGGGCAAAGTCTCAGTGGTGGTAAATGATGAGGGTGAAACCAGTGCCAGGGGAATGTTTCCTTTGGTTAAGTTTTTGTGCTAGCATAAAAATTTCCTCTTTTAGTGGTATGAGGTTTTGGTTTTTGGTTTTTTTAATCCCAGATGAGTAATAGGCAGAATTCATCAGCCCTCTTACTCATTTCATCCAGACAGCCCTTAGATTCCCTCTGCACCATTTTTGGTCCAATAACCTCCCCTTGTATTGCTTTCTATCTGCTGCATATGCCAATACCACACTTGACCTTTTTCAGGGCTAATTCAGGAAGTTTTGTTGACTTCTGTAAATGCTGTCTTGGAACAGATTCAATAAGTCATAGTTCCTAAATGAGTGACAGCACAGAAGAAGCTGAAGTTTAGCACAAGGTAGTAAGGAATGGCACAGGGAGTTTCTCTTTCTTGCCAGAACAGCTGGAGTGTTGGGCTCCTGCTTTTTGGGGATGAGTAAGGTAGCAAAGCAACTGGTTTGGCACTAGTTAAAGATTTTAGCTAAAACACACTCTTGTTGTGAAGTTACTGCAATGAACTGGTATTTGTTCAGGAAAATATCCAGTCAGAGTATCCTGGTCCATATCTAGTTCAGCCATTTTTTTCCAGAAATGTACAGGTACATGTACATTTGTACTTACACAGGTGAGAACATGCTCCTGTTCTTCTGCACTTCTGCTTCTACACATGGACTTTCCATTCCTGGGGCAGCTGCAAATGCCAGCTTTTCCTGCTTAAAAAAAAAAAAGGTTATTATTACTGCATCTCATCAAATGAAGATTTTAGTGCACCTAAAATATGGAACACTAAAAACTGATTAACACAACAGATAACCAATGTCTGAACAAGCCTTCCTATCCATTACTGATGGAAGCTATTAGGACCAACCTGGATGAAAGACAAAGTCATAATTAACTTGACATTAACAGCACATTGCTGCAGTACCAATAACGTTACTCAGAAGAATCTTAAGATTTTGAATATACCTTCCTGCAGATGCTATTAAAAACAGATCCAGACTGAGATAAATCAGAGATTGCAATAAAGACTGTCTGTACCTCTCTTACTGACAGAGGAATTCCCTCTAGTTTTTGATCTCAGTCTCTTGCAACAAAGTTTCAGCCCATAGCTGCTTTTATGACAAATAAAATAAGCAAGCAGATATGGCCAGAGAGGTGAGAGTGTGCAGCTTTTTTGAGAGTTCCATCTTAAATTACAGGATGATTTTTGAGAACATTTATTTTATTATCTATTACATGAGCTGTATCTTCTAGTAATGAATAAAACTATCAACACTCATTATAAATACCAGAAGGTTTTTATCATGAAATATATTCTTTTCTTTCTTGATGCTATATGATACCACCCATCTCTAAAACCCACAAGACAGAGAAACTACCGGAGCAGTTCTGTACCAGTTAATATTTCTGAACAGCCCTCCATGTGAATAAAGATGCAACATGCAGTGCACAGTTTAATTAGTTTATTTTTTAAACTTCTGTCAGAAATAAAGGTGTGCATCAATTACAAAATATATTAAACTATATATCAATTCATCCAGGGGAACAGGAGTATTTTCATTTTGTTCAAATGCAAACCAATACAAACCTTTAACATTGACACAGAATAATCTTTTTTATCCATCATCAATGTATCTGGTCTGTGGCCATCTCTAAACAACAGAAAGGTCGCCCTGATTGCTTTCATTAACAAGTTTAAACCCTTGATAGCAAACATGACCAGACACATCATAAGACTGCTTAAAAAACAACTCTATACATCTCACATTATCTGAGCTCCCACATATACATTACATACCAACATTTCTAACAAAACATTTTTCCCTGCCCTGCAGGGGAAGACATTCAGAGGCAAAGAGATAACACGTTCATAATATATTATAATTGGAAAATTTGTGCCATAGCAGCTTTGCAAATACACGTACTAAGAGTCGGTGACTTAAACCATGTTAAAGACAACAGAAATTTGGAAGATAGAAGCTAAGCCACTTTTTAAACCACCTTGAGATCTAGTAATGCTGCAAAGCATTCATTTACAGAATGAAACCCCACTGCTGAACAAGTTACACAGGACATGGGTTCATCAGATATTTCTTTGACTGAGAGACAACTCAATGCTGCAGACCTTTCTTCTTCCATTTAAATAGTTCTTGCAATTATACCTCAGTCCACCACAGAAAAACAAATTCTCAAAAGAAGATTTGAAGAAAGGGGAGAGAGGAGAATGGAACCAGTATATGAATAAATATTTCATAAACATTTATAATCTTTTTATGACAGTAAGATTTAACTGATACTTAGAAAATTATCTCTGACAGTCTCCCATGTAATACTCTGATATTACAGTAATTTGTCATCACTCAGAGTTCTAGGTGGTAGTATAAAAATACAAAACCAATAGAATAGCAGCAGTCAATAAAGAATCCATATTACTGTGGCCAGTACAGAATTATACATGCAGTAGCCTTCTATTCCCCGTTGGCTTATGCTATTGTACAACTTTAACCTGAATCATTTAAATCCTGCCACCACAGGGAGTTTCCTCCTCAGAGGCAGAAGTACATCAGATCTAGCAGATAAGGCTCGAATCAAAAATTCCATTCAAAACTCAAATCTTCAAAAGTAAA